GTCCACTTTATATATGAAAAATTTCAAATTTATTTGGAATTCAATACAATTTTTATGTAAACATTATACTTCTTATTATTAATTTTATATTAGTTTGCATCTTTACATTCAGTCATGGAATGAAATTGGAATGAAAGAAGGTATAATATATAATATATAATAATATAGTATAGTACAATATAGAGTATCTAAGTGTATTTTTTTTATTACAAATATAAATTTCTAAACCTAATTTTTTAATCATAATCAACAATTATTTTATATAAATTTGAACTAAATATTTAGAGTAAATTATGAAATTAATAATAAATTATGGTGTAGCATCAAATAATTAATTTATTCACAAGATTAATTTATTTATGATATAATGATCTAATTAAGACTTATAATATTTAAAAAAATATTGTATTAATTTTTTTAATACTAATTTTATTTTAATATTAGATAAAAATTAATTGTAATTAAAAACATGTAAAGTATATTTTATCACAAAGTTTTTAATAATCTATATGCTTTATGCAAACATAAATATGACATGTGTCGAAATATCAAAATAAATGCATGTGTTTGAGAATGAGAGACCTTTTTTAATACAATAAAATATCTGAAATATTTCCAGTGAATAATTTGCTTACTTACTCTTGCCTATTTTGAAGCGTGCTCATATTTTCCCGGTACGGTAAAATTGATGTGTTTACTGCCAAGAAGACGTAGATTCTGACTGAGTGTCGAATATACGTAAACTAACGAGTACAAACATTTCCTGAAAATTCACTGCAACCCAAAACACTGCACGTGCGACAACAAGCAACAGGCTTGCGTGCGGACTCGGCCTTTGGGACAATGCTTGCATTGTCTCCAAGTGCGCCGCATCTGGTCGATCGCATCGGAAAAAACGACCACGCCCCTTCATCTAGCCAGAAGAGGTGACCAATAGTAAGGGCTCCCCACTTCCGACACTTTCCCGATTAGCACATTCGGGACTGAGTCCGGAAGGAAGTGGAACTGAAGGCGTGCATAATTCATCATGCTGCCCAAGGTCACTTCTGATTGGACAATTGAAAGAAGAAGGGGTCCCAAGTGGAACTGGGTCAGTGAACTATTTAAGAAGGAAAATGTACTGTACCACCACTTCTCTTTCCAAATACTTCTTACAGTATAAGGACAAGTCACTACTTACTTCTTCCAAATACTTCTCACAGTTGAAGGATAAGTCACGACCTACTCTCACGGAGGAGGACCGGAGAGACAAGTCGTTTATCTAGCTGAATTTTAATAAGAAGTTCTTTATACGATTGTGAATTAGTGTACAGTTGAATTGATCTCATCAAGACTGGATTGCATAGGACCTGACCACTTCTAATCTCAGTTGGAGATAAGGAAGAACCAAAGAGTTGCAACATTGCAAGGGAACATCATAACAAGCCACCGAAGATAGACTGGAAAATCACGATACACCGCAAGTAAGTCCTTACAGCTAGTAATGATTCTTGATTTCTCGGCTTATGTAGAAGACGGACGGATTAAAGTCCAACTACGGAAGCTTCCCGGACATACTCTAGAACAAGACCAGCTACAAAAGCCACAATGGTTTCTCAATCCCTCCAACTATAAGTTGTTCCCGCCACAGATGGCGCACAGCTTCGCATAACCTCCATTTAGGCTCTCTCACGACCGATATTTAGAGGCAACTGCACACGTGTTGAGGTAGAACACAATAACATTGCAGTGTTCGATCAGAGCACTACATCACCATAACCTCTTAGTGATAATATTCAATAGATAATAACCTACTTCTGTTTATAGTAAATATATATCAACACCACAAGATTATTAAGAAATATAAGGATCATTTGTAATTTCACCAAAGTAAATAATCCCCATTGGAAATAAAGTAAAATAAATTGATTAAACAGTAATAATAAAGACCTGTGTTAATTATTGAATCGATACATTAACCCTTTACTTGCCCGGCAACCCCACACAACATCTAGTGGGTTTTTTTCGTTCTAAGTTGATTTGTGGAATTATTTTCCGAACAGCATGTAATAATTAAAAACTTAATTTTTGATATTAAAGACGTGTGAAATTCATTAATATTCAATGCTAATAGTACAATAAATATAATTATTAAGAATTATTTTCTACGTTTTCTTTATTATACAATTGCTGTATAATGAAATCATTGTTTTTATGTTAATATTACCGATTAAAAAATTTAAAACGATTACATAGATAACTAATCAGCATAACTAAAATTAACCAGCTCGCATTACTGGAAAAAGATTACAACAACCCACCTCCAAAATGAATATATTATTTATCGTATGTGTGCATATAATAATTGTTATACATTTTATTGAAATCAAGAATAAATAAATAAATAATATATTCTTAATAATATAATTTGAAAGTAATTTTAAAAAATATATAATTCAAATAGCAAAATATCAAAAATTATTTATATTTTATATTTTTATTATATTTCATTTTATTTGGAACTTTAGAATAAGAATCTAAACATAACATAGATAAGTAAATATTGAATACATTTATAACTTATTTACTTTTAAATATTTTTTTATGCATTAGAACGTATTGTTTTTATTGTCTAATATTATTGAGCTCAAATTAAAGAGTTAAATATTTTAATCAATGTTTTAAAAAAGTAAAATACTATATATTTACTGAAAAACGGAAGCAAAATAAAAAAATACAAGTAAAATATATTACGTAAATGAAATTATTTTTAATGTTTTAAAAAGGCATGTGTAAGTTCTTTTAAAAATTTGAGATACTTTAAATATATATTAAATTTGAATTAAAAATAATTAAGTACATTTTAAAAAATTAACAATAAGCAATAAACAAACTGGAAAATAATCCATTCTTCATCGAACGAAACAAAAAATAATACTTTTATTTGGAATTTTATGCATACTATATAATAAAATCTGAAAACTAACGATTTACATAAAAAATAAGCATTCTTAAGAAAAATTATTAAAATATTTAGCAAGGTATAGTTTAGTTTAACGTTACAATTTGAAAATCTAAAAATTTCGTCACTGACATAAAAAGTTTAGGTAATCGTTCTTTCTTTTTTTTCTAATTATATAATTCAATTCAAGGATCGAAATTTAATAAAATTAGTAATGATAAAGAAAGAATATCCTATGGAATGAATCAAGTTTTTCTTTTGTTTAATATAAATAAATTCTTCCATATTAAACAAGTATATGAATAAAAAATCAAAATACAGTTTTGGCAATAAATACTTCAGTAAACATTATAGAATACTACCATAAATATGTATTTGAATAATTTATAAAAAATATAAATCTTTATTACCAGAAAGAATTTATAAGAAAAGGATTTTAAGAAATTTATTTACGAAATTTTTTATTTGAATTTATTTACTTTTCTATATTTTTCAATTTTTAAATATTAATACGAATTCATATTTATTTGGAAATATTATTTTAAAATAAAATACCTTTTATATCAAAATTAAAGTACTTATTTTCTAACTTATGGAAGAAGATTACATATTACATCACATATTAGATTACATTAATAACAAATCTTAAAACTGAATGAAAAAATTTCAATTGTATAATTCATATATTTACAAAAAATATTTAAATTATTTGTATTATATTATATGGAAAATCAAATTAGTTTATTAATAGTTGACTCTATAAATAACATTTCTGCATCACCACAAATTTGAATTTATAAATTGTATCAATATATTTAAACAATTCATTTTTAAGAAATTTTACAGATTTTAACAAATTTTACAAATTTAAAAAAAAAAAAGTTTTATACTATTCATGAAAAAATAATAGAGTGGATAAATAAATTATTAGTCTTTCATATGAATGTAATAAAATTGTGGTTAATTGTATAATTATGGATTTGGTCGGATATTGGTTGGATTTTGAAACTTATTTCAGGACTAATATTTCTTCCTCATTATCGTAATTTAAAGAACATTTTTTATATAATTTGCAAAGACACTAGTAATTTATCAATATTTTTTTCATTGATATTAAATAATTAAAGGTATTTATGTGAATTTGAATCCTATTCATTTATTTTATATTCAATACTGAACCACGTAAACACAAGTACATTTAACGTAATTAACCTTCTATGCCATCACAACATAAAAATATAATTTATTTCATCTTGGTAATTTTATAAAAATTCTATAAAAGTCCTTTACAATAAGTTTTAGAAGTCTACTGAAAAATGTTTACAATTATTAGTTAACGACTTAACAATGGTTTATTTTCATATATGAATATTATAATTAGTATGAAAAATTCGGTGCTTTTAATTTATAAACCATTTATTTGTATATAAATATTTTTAAAACAATCCTTTTAATAAATTTTTATTATTTTGAAATGCTTATATTTCAAAATTGTATGTTAATTATATGCAGTAGATATGCTTAAACAACTATTTCATTAAAGATAAAGAATATATAACCAAAATAAAGATGAAAAAATAAATTTTAAACGTTTTAGTACATATTATAGTAACTAATGTTAAAATAATTAAAATAGATTTATTGATTATTATTATAACAAAAGTAATAAACTAAATTTTTTTTAACATTCTGTAAAGTAATTTTATTTTAGATAAAATAAATTTCAAATAAATATTGAAATAAATTTATTTTACGTGTCAATATTCTTAAGCTAAATAAATATAGGCAGACTTAAATATATATGAGAATATTATAAATTGGTTAATTTCTATATCAGTTACATTTGATCTATTTACAAAATATAAAAAAAAATGTAGTCTTGTAATATTACAAATTAAGAAAAGCAGAAAGTTTTTGTTCAAAATTAATTAAAACGAAAAAAATATAGAATTAAAATAAAATGCTAAAAAGTTGTAAATGTATTCAATTAATATACCACTAAAAATTGTATTAAAATTAAAAATTTACATACCAACCGTTATGTATGAAATCGTTTAATATGGGTATGCAGTTGTTTTGTTTTTATTATGATTATTATTTGCTGACATGAACCGAGAACGTGAAAATTAGAACAAATGCATCAGTAACTGTTTATCAGTCGTCAAATCGGTTGTCACTCAAATCCAAGTGAAATAAATTACGTTATAATTTTACCTTATTCGTAAGTTCATTCTAGTTGATTTATCTTATTAAATCAACGATATCATCCGTTAATTGAACGCAGTGACGAGGAGTATCGCGGTTAAGCGACCAATCATTTGTCAAAGATTACGAAAAATCGTTCAGCCGTGGATCATCTAAGCGAAACAGGCGGAACCGTGGTCAACAAGACCCGGAAATCCCGACGTAGGAGAGCCAGGAACTCTACTACTGAGACCAAAGTATGCTGTATTTGAAATCGATCTTTATTATTAAAACAAAAATCTTTTTCCACTCATTTTACACTCTTATTGTCGCACAACCAATATTTATAACGAAATTTTTATTTTAATAAAAATTTATAATAAATTTTCCTATTCATTAAACATTTTTTTTCTATAGAATATATTCATATAATCGTGAATTTAAACTTATATTTTAGAAAAATAATTCAAATATTATTATAAGAATATTTTTTTGTTTTTAATTGTTGGTCCAGTATGAAGTAGTTAGTAGTTAAAATCATACTGCTTTTTTTTTAATTTCAATTATTATAGCACATTTAATATTCATTTCAGGCAATATTAATTAATTATATGTTATTGTTATTGAAATTGTATAAAATTTCTTCCAATAGTAACAATATAAAATTTGATATTAAGAATGTAAAATCATTTTTAAAAAATTTAATATCAAATTTAAATAAATAAAATTTACATGTTTAAAATAATTTAATAACATATAAGTGCATAATTTATTTATTTGTAATATACAAATTTAACATTAAAAAGTATAAATGATTACTATTTATTTATATTAATTGCTTGTTATTTGCAGGAAAGAATTTGAAGTTAGTCTATTAATTTTATAAATATTGTTTTATTGGCATAACTAGATTACCAAATTATATCACTGGAGTATTTTAAAATTTATATTTTCTTAAATAATATTCATATAATGAAAAAGTAGTTACAATTAACAATAAAAAATAATTAAGTTAATTAATAATTAATTATATTAATTATTATTTCATAATTTTAGTTATGATTAATTATATAGAAAATAAAATATAAACTTAAAGTTTAAACTAAACCATATATTAAAATTATATTACTCAAATACTGTGAATCATAAAAAGCATTAAACATATTTTTTTTAATTACTTAATTATTTTAATGTTTTGTACAGATGTACAGATATTGAATACAGTTCTTTTCAAAATTTTTAAATGTAATTTAAATTAAAAATGAAATATTTTGATTTAAAACTTAAATATATAATTTTCAACTAGTTAATAATGAAAAAAATTTTAAATTAAAATAGTTTCAAATAATTATAACAAAACAAAATTATTTTATTTGCGGGTTAACAACATGAATTATTGTAGAAAAAAACATTGGCCACTTCTATGGATTATCGCAAAGAAGCCCAAAAGAATCTTAGCCAAATATCCTGTTCCTCGGCACCATTACCTAGTTCATCTTTGACAACCCTTCAATGTTTAACTCCAACTCCACTTCGTACTAGATCACTTCTAACAACCCATACATATCATGTTCAGCCCGAAGAAACTAATTTTCATGTAAATCTTTTCTAATGAAATAATTTAATTTAATTTTATATTAATTGATAATCTTATATTATTTAGAGATACACTGAATTCAGCAAGTACTTAGAGACTCCTCCTTCTGAACAATGGGGAAGCTTAGTTGGAAATGGATTTTCAACTGGTCTTAATTCATTATGGAGGCAACCAAGAAATACAAAACAAATCGTACCACCGCAATATTATACTGCAGAGGATGCTTGCATTTTCACAGACAACTGGAGACATGAAACAGAAACTGGCATTGGTGGAGCAATGACAACACCACATGGAACGATTTCACTTAGATTACACAGCAAAATAAGGGTTGACATGACTATTGATCGTGCTGTGAGAGTAATCAATTTCAAAGTACGTTACTATTATTAATTTAAAAAATAAATCAAATTTTGTAACAATTTCATTAATGAAACTTAATTTTTTTAATAAAATAATTATACTTTTATTATAGATTAATTCATAAAACTTTTTTATAACAAGAATATTTTGTTAATTATTTAAAACAATATTAAGTAGGTGAAAATATTAATATTACAAATAAAAACATGTACTGTTAAAAAAATATATATATATTCTAATTTATTATATTTTAACTATCATAAATATTTTAATCACAATCTATAATTTTTTTACTTGTAATTATTCAAATTACAATAATTTTCTTTATGTTGTAAAATATTTTGAAGTGATATAAAAGGTTGATTTCAACGAAATTCAAATAATAAATAACTTTAATTAGCTTAAGCTTATAATGCATATGACAAAGCAGTGTTCTAAAAACTATTATATTTTACTTTATTTGACCAAATATCACATAAATGCACACTACTAAAAAAAGGATATTTAACTTTACAGTTTAAATTTAATTTTACATTTACTTAATATATATACATATTACTATATGTATTTTAAATTTTTTAAAATTGAATATATCATTTATTAACAAAATATAAATTATAAATACAAAGTAACTACAAAATAAATACTAGATTATACGATATATGAGGAAAATTATAAAATAATAGACTTTGTTTATTATATAATAAATAAATATAAAAATCAACATTGATTATAGAATTATTTTGTAAAATTTTAATTATTATTTTTATTTATTTATTTTACTATTATTAAATATATTATCATGATATTTCATTATTTCAATTCATAAATAAGTATATTAAAGTTACAATATCAACTCACAGATATTTTTATATTGAAAGAAAATAATTCTTCTATTTATAATCGCAATAAATTTTAATTTTTAAAATTAACTGAAAATTGAATTTTTCGATTAATAATTAAAAACAAAAAAATTGGAATAAAATTCGTTTATAAATTATAAAATATGAAATAATTGATGCCAATCAAAAAATTGAATTTATGAGTTTTGATATATTTTAATACTTTATTATTGCTTTAAAATTATTTTAATTTTATAAATAATGACTAAGAACATGGAAATACTAAACTGCATTATGTTTTAAAAGTAAAAATTTGACTTGCTGAAGACAATAATTTAAAAAATTTAATATTAAAAGTATAAAATTTAAAAATTAATTATAAATGTTATTAATTCAAAGTTTAGGACATTTAATGGATGACATGGCATGTTTAATTATATAAAATTTTTAATGAAAAATTATATTTAATATAAACAAAAATTATATAAGAAACTATCTGGTTCTGGTTCTTGGATTATGTGCAATTAAAAACTTGTAAATAAAATAAAATTTTATTATAAATAAGGTAGAATGAAATATATTTCTTAATAGTAAAATATTTAAATTAAATAAAATCGTAATCAACTTATTATTTTTCATTACATAATATTATACATTCATGTTTGTTTAGCAGCTATTATAATATAAAGTTATATATCCTTTGTAATAATAAAACTTACTTTTTGCACAGAACAATATTGTACTTTCATTAAGTGATTCTGGTTTTGCTTCGGCATTACTTCATCCCAATGGCAGAATGTATCAACATGGATCTCGTGTAGAAATCTTGGCTCATGATGTTCATGGAAACAACAAGTTTGTTGAGATTCTAATCTGTAATTAAAAAAATATTAAACTATGAAAATATATGTAATTATTAGGTATGCTAAAATGTGGTACAAGGGTGTTAGTTTTACTTCAGAGCAGTGTGCTCTTGTTTATTTAGTTGATGCTGCTGGAACTAGAACTACAACAGATTCATTTTCAGATATGAGTCAGGTCAATATATATATTCACAACAAATATTATTCATTAATATATAAATGAATCATATAAGTTTTCAATATATCAATTACGTTTTAGGATTTTTCAGTTAAAGTTTTTTATGATCAATCAAAACATGGGCCGGCCTGTATTCAAGAAGCAGCAGGGGCTTTGTCTGCTGGTCAATACTGGTTAACTGATGAAGGTGTAGAAAATTGGATTATCAATAATGTTCGGATTTCACAGACTCCAGATGGACTTGTTAGGTACTTTTTTAATAAATTAGTAATAATATTTGCAATATTTAACATTAAAAATATTTAAATTATATTAATACTAATTAGTATTTAAGTAAAATATTAATGATACAAATAAAAAATCATTATATTGAATTAAATTTAAAACACATTATGCATAATAATTTAATAATTAGTTAATAATTTTTATATTTAGAACTTATTAAGAATATAATTTAGTATTCTTGAATTTTTATAATTCATTATTTATCTTCTCATTAAAAGGTTAAAGTAAGTAAAACAATCCCAAATATAATAAATTTTATTAATAAAACATTATTACTAATTATAATTAAATAATTTATTATTATATTTAAACATAATATTTTATTTTTATCAAAATTATTTTAGGATTGCTCGGAATAGTAACAAGTATCAATTACGAACATCTCCAAGTAATGGAACAGCATCATTGACAACGCCATTTTTACATTGTACAGCATCGTTAGGCCAAACTTCTCATTTATTTGTGAAAAGAGGTGAACGACGGATGCATTATGATTGTACCAGTTTTATAGTGAGAAATGCCGGTCATAGTGCGGGTTTTGATAATAATCAGCTAAAAGTTTTTTAAATGAGAAAAGGTTTATGCCTTACTATAATTTTTTTTGTAGAATGTCAGTAATTGTCTATAATTTTCAATCCCCATTTACATTTAACAATTATTATTGAATATTATAATTGAAAGATATAATCTTTAGTATATTTTTAAAATAATTACCTTATTCCATATGAAAATAATTTTCAATTTATTTCAAGGTATATATACATTTATTAATTTAATAAATACTGTTAATATAAAATAAACATTCAAAATTTTGAAAACTTAGACTTTAATTGATTTTCAATTTTTTGTTTAGTGATTAATTATAGTCAAATTAATTTAAATATTGAATAATCCTTTTAACAAATCATTCCAATTTCAGTTTATAACGTCTTTTTACTAATGTTGCATTTATATTATGTAAAGAATTAAATAGCACAAAAAATACTAACATATTATTGGGACATGTCATCATTAGAACCTTTTTTAAAATATTTAGATTCACTATAATTTTCTTGTTTTTTTTTTATGAATATTATCATCTTCATTTTCACCAAAATTTTTAGGAAGATTTGAATCATTTGATTTAACATAGGCAAATTCTATATCCATATCATCAGAAGAAGAATCTGTATCAAAACCATGCCCTAATTTTGGTCTAATTTTATCATCAAAATTATATCTAAAAACAAAGTAAAAGACCGAATACATATCACATTTATCAAGTAGATATTTACATTATAATAAAATAACATACTTATTTTTTTCTGTCCTATTATACAATGCTACTTTAATGTTTTTCCGTAGTCCTGTTAATGTTTGCTTTTTTTCTTTTAATGTATCAATTTTATTTAAGATTTCTCCCATAAAATTTTTATCAAAAAGTTGTAATTTATTTATAGATGGTGTATTATTCAATATCTTTATTTTTTGTTCATCATAAACTTTACTTATATTTTGAATCCTAAGAAATTCCCCTTGTTCAATTTCATCAATAATTTTTGGTAGAATAGAATATGGATTGTCGAATGGAAGTTCTTGGCGAAATTTAAAATTTTTTTCTAATCCATACTGAAATATAGTAATATTTATAGTTTTTATAGAGTGGTATATATAAATGAATATTTAAATGATAAGGATTCTTACTTCACTTTCAAATAAATTATAATGAAAAGCATTATCCATTACCAATTTAACAAAAATATATGATGCATCATATAATTTTTCATCCTTACTCTGCTGATATAAATCTAAAAATCTTTGCCATTCTTTAGATGTAACTTGAATTTTTACATTTTCAATTGGTATTTTATAATATAGTCCATATAACAGATAAAGTCCACTAACTTGATCTAAAATATCAGTTGGTAATAATAAAAATTGTTTTGCAATATTAAGTGATTCTTCGCAAAATTCTAACATTTCTGCATAATTTTTTCTATATCTAAAATTTGATCGAATTGAAAGTATAAAATTATTTAAATAATATAATACTTAAAATAAATATAATTCTTAATTCTACTTACAAAAAAATTAATGAAAATTTCATTTCTTTCCAAATCTTACAAAACAAATCAAACTTAATACTTGAATAACTTTTGAAGGTTGACATTAATTTAATACAATCTTCATGAAATCCACAAGATAAATATGATATATTAATTGATGCCATCATTATAAATTAAATTATTAGATCTGTAATAAATGTTAAATTAAAACAATTTATACATAAAATATATATACTTGTATATATATCTATATGAAATTTTTTTTTATATTAATAAAAATAAAAATAAAATCACTTACAATTAAATGTTAATTAACATTGTATAATTCTATGTATTTAAAATTTTTTTTAATATTATTGATAATAGAGTAGATGATATTTAGTTTATTGTTATTTATATATTATATTTAATATTATAAATCTTGAAAATGTGGTTTATTGTTTTATTATTTAAACTCCTGATTTATTTGACTATGTATTTTTTATGATATAACAGTATATACAAAATTTATCATATGAAAATATATATCAATAGTAAGATGGTGGAATTAATTTAAACAAATAATATTATATGGCACTTTTTTAAAAATTTTAATTACTAATTCAATAAATTAAGAGTTTTACATGTGCAAATAATTATAATCAACATGAATTAATGTGATATTTCTTAAAAACATCTCTATTAATATATATTTCAATTTTAATTAAGTTAAGATGACTGCCATATATTAATTTAGTGGTAAATTAAATGATCTATTAAGAAAAATAAATTTATAAAATATAAAATGAAACAAATGTATAAAGAATCACTTGGTAAAAATGAATTAAAATAATTAATGTATAAACTGATTATAGTTAAATTCGGGATTTATGTATAAATCTGTGATTATAATATTGGTTGAATAATTCATTTGTATAACCTATTTTAAGCTTAATGCAAGTACTTCTATCATTCGTATAATAACGTGAGAAATATATATCGACTAACTAAAGCAAAGGAAAAGTAATTTTCATGTATTATACTCCCGCCCTCTCTATGACAAAAGTAAAACCTTTTTTTTAATGATTAATCATAGATTAAAGAAATAAGTACAAAAAATCTATTACTAATAACGACTTCAAATGTTATTTTAATTATATATGATTAATCTCCATTAATAATAAATATTGCAATAATTAATGTATTCACCGGTGCCAGGTTATTATGAAAAGTCACTATCTATTGAGTATAATGAAATTGATCATTATCTAACACAATAATTTACAGACCGGGAAATGCATTAACACAGTGCTTTTGATGAATTTACAATAAATGCCTATTAACCATATAGTCTTTACTTCTAATAGCGAGGAAAAAGCCAGATGTAATGTAGAAATGCGGATAGCCTTCAAACTATTTAAGAACCTTAACATAATACAACTCTATTGTGTATTTCTATTTGTTTTTTGTTATAACTCTTTTATATTCAAAAAACATAACTAATAATAAATTATCCATAATTTATAGATTAAATGCTACGGTATTTGTCGGTATAGTATTTAGGTATGCTCTTGCACGAATAATGTTAAGCTTTATCAGTGTCTCTAAAATAAGTTTATTATCTTTAAATTTTTACTTGAGATTTTTTTTACTTGAGGAAACACATTATTAGTTAATTTTCAAATACATATATTTTCCGTAACATGAACGTACAAATTATATTCTCTAGAGACGAAAGTAAGCAAACGTTTGTTCGTGTTGATTAGTATGTTTTAATATAGAAGCTTATAACTTTCTTATCTATATATTGAAAGCGTGTGTATCAACTAACTAGAAAGAGAAATCAATAATTAGAATACATTAATGCGAAACAAGGAAAGTATAGAATACCATTCTAACGTTGGTAGCCAAACACAAAACTCTTGATTTTTACATATATGATAACAAATTATTTTACAACGATGAAATGAAACACATACATACATATATATATATATATATATATTATTTATATTACTGCCGATTTATGAATTATAATATTTTAATAGTCATTTCAACAGTATATACAAATTTTAATTACATTTCAAACTAAATTGAACTGTGTGATTTCTATAAATAAGAAATGCTTATAATTATATTTAATATTATGTATGTGTTCGAGATTATGAGAACTAATCGCCAGTGTCAAACATTTGGCGGAAAACCTAAGTCGTTAGACATCTGATGGAAAGGTCCAACCGTCGTCGGACCTGTAAAAAAGCTATTCTATATGATAGAGAAGCACTCTCTAATTGGATACGCCAAAGACAGAGGCGTTCCATAAGAGGGAACACCATGGTCACAGGCTTTATTAGTGGGGACGAAACAGACACAAGCGCTGTCTGAGTGGGGACGCCAAAAAGCAAGAGGCTCTTAATGGTATACCGATAGTGGTCGAAACCATACTAAGACCAAGATAGAAGAAGATGTGTCAATCACTTTGGCTGCAATAAAAGGATTTGACACTATATCCTTCTTAGGAAATCATCCACACGCAGTATCCGGGATAATAAAATACTTCAATTTCCACACGAAGCATTCGGGATAGTGAACTATTCACCATCGAACAGGTCAAGACTACTGTATCTCTGTGAGTAAACTAAGTCTAAGGAATAAATTATTACTAATCCTTACAAGATTAGCACTACGCTATTATTACATAACATAAACACTCTCACTAATGAGTGTACTCACTCAGCTGTTAATCCTTACAAATCAACAACAAATCACCATTATCAAGGAGCATCTCGTGCAAACAAACCATCCACCACAGGAACAGTTCCAAGCAACAGTATCTTCGTGATTGAACATAGGATATACCTTTCCATCGAATAAATCCAACACATCAAATGTAATTGTAAATAAACCATAATAAAAAATATTTATTGAAGAAGCACATACTGTATCTCTACAGCTCTTCCACTTTACTCCTTCCCAAACATTTGTTAGGGTGGGCGACAATTATTATAAAGCTATCGAAACATTGGCAATTTGAACCAGGAAATCAAATAATTTCGAGCAGTATGCTATAACTTATTTTTTACTATAATGCAGATAATGCTTATAATACTTATAATTTATACTAGTATTTAATTTTTTTTACAAAGTATGTCCACAGTATACATAATCAAATTGTTCAAAATTGTGAGAACCCTTCCAAAGTCACTGGACATCTGGCAAAACTCAAGTCATTAATCATCTGTATACCAAGTCGTTAGGCTTCTGAAAACTCAGGTCATTAGACATCTGGAAATAGTCGTTACACCCAAAAATTAAAATCTAACGGTATACAATCGCATCCACTGTTGTTGAGTCTCCATACTGTCGCTGGGATCGGCAAGGGAAGGCGTTTCAATCAGAGCGTACTCTTGGCGGGAGAGCCATGAGTAGACTACTCTCTCTGATTGAAAACACAGCCGGTAGAGGCGCTCTGAGTAGAGACGCCGAAGCCAGAGGCGCTGATGGAGATGCCAAGGAAGGAAGCGTTGCTTAAGTGAACGCCGTGGTCAGCGAAATGCATTTAAGGGAGACAACGAAAAGACGCAGGCACTCTCTAGTGGATCGTCAAGGAAGAAGTTGTTACAGGCTTTTCCAATACTAGTGCGTCTCGCACGAGCGAGGCCGTTTCAGGCTTTTCCAATATTAATGCGTCTCAGCCCTTTCTCATACAGAAGCAGTCGCAAACCTTTCCAATACCCAGGACAAGGCCGTCTAATACTAGGTGCCGCCAATCGCACACTCAGCAGAGCCGCTTAATAAGGTACTCGCAACAGTTTCATACTAAATAGAGTTATTGTTTGAGAATGAGAGACTCTTTTTTTTAATGCAATAAAACATCTGGCAAATAATATCGTGAAAATAGTATTTAAAACTTCAAAACTTTCCTGCTCATAATTATTTAGCACTAGTGTCATAAAACATCTGGAAAACTAGCGAAACGTGCTCATGCTCCTAGTGCAGTAGAACTTAATGGGTTTATTACCGGGAGAACCCCAAAGTAGATTCAGAACGAATATCAGATATACGTAAAGCACTGAGTACGAAACATTTACTTAATTCACTGCAACCCAAAACCCGCACGAGCAACAACCTACAATGACCATACGTGCGCACTTGGCCTTTAAGACAATGCTTGCATTGTTCTTGATCACGGAGGAGGACCGGAGAGACAAGTCGTTTAGCTAGCTAAGTTTCAATAAGAAGTTCTTTCTACGATTGTGAATTAGTGTACTGTTGAATTGATCTCATCAAGACTGGATTGCATACGACCTGACCACTTGTAATCTCACTTGGAGATAAGGAAGAACTAAAGATTTGCAACATTGCAAGGGAACGTCATAACAAGCCACCGAAGAGAGACTGGAAAATCACGATACACTGCAAGTGAGTCCTTACAGCTAGTACAGATTCTTGATTTCTCGGCTTACGTAGAAAACGGACGGATTAAGGTCCGACTACCGAAGCTTCCCAGGCATACTCTAGGACAAGACCAGCTACAGACGCCACAGTGGCTTTTCAATCCCTCCAACGATAAGTTGTTCCCGCCACAGGTGGCGCACAGCTTCGCAAACCTCTATTTAGGCTCTTATACGACCCATATTTAGAGGCAACTGCACACGTGTCGAGTTGAGACACAATAATATTGTAATGTTCGATCAGAGCACTACAATAACCATAACCTCTAAGTGATAATATTCAATAGATTATAACCTACTTCTTGTTACAGTATATCATAATCTCACCAGTGATATGCAGAGAATAAGAAATTGATTATCCTCTAATTCTCCAATAAACAGATATATCAACACCACAAGATTATTAAGAAATATAAAGATCATTTGTAATTTCACCAAGGTTAATGATTCCCATTGGAAATAAAGTAAAATAAATGAATTAAACAGCAATAAAAAAGATATGTGTTAATTATTGAATCGATGCATTAACTTTACTTGCCTTTACTTTGCTTTACTTGCCCGTCAACCCCACACAACATCTAGTGGGTTTTTTGTTCTAAGTTGATTTTTGCTCGTTTGGCTGACGAGTCAGATTGTGGAATTATTTTTCGAACAGTTATATACAGTGCCAACGAGCACTTTCTCAAGGAGAAGACCAGAATCAAGTTACTATCACGTGGAACTACACGAAGAAATGTGAAGAGATTTACGGCCTCTTACTTCTCAGTATAATAATTTACCACTAAGCGCACCGCATCAAGAGAATCCGGAGATTTATGACCTGCCACGATTATCATCATCAACTTAGAATCATTATAGTGTAGTTGTAATTAAACGCAATAAACGACACGAAAAACAAATGTATTATTGAATTGAAGCGCTACCCCTTCCACTTATCAACACTTTTCTCCCAACAGTAATCTGGTGGACTTAGTCTAATTCTAAATATAATGAAATATATAAATAACGATTTATATATTTTTTTATATTTATATATAAGGTAACAAGAACGGTTTATAATTGAAAAACAAGTAAACGATTCAACATATTTCCATGAAAACTTTTATCGGATATATTACAACGCCAATAATATAATTATTTCTGAAAAAAATTATTCAATTGCAATCAATTTTATAGGATTTTGATGATGGATGTTTACACGGAGAAGTGTGAGGTCGTAAGTGTGTGTCTCTGGACATTTCTTCATGTAGTGTGCCATGTGGCGGTAACTTGATTGCTGGTCTCCTCCAAGCTGCCTTGTTGTATGGACAGGTGAGGAAGTCTTTCAATTGCTTCATGCTCTGGGCACTGTGTATGAAACTCTATGCAGTATGAAGCTACCTTCTTGACAATCCACTGATGAGCGTCCGTTCATCCTCCGCGGCGTCGTCCCTTGTAAGAGAGCGCCTTTTACATGGCTTCTGTTAAAGCAGTGTCTTCTGTGGCGTCCCCCGTAAGAGAGAGAGAGAGAGAGAGCACCGTCCTCCATGGCGTACCTTGTAAGACCGCAGCTTCACTTGTAGTCGTCTCCGTTAAGAGCGCTCCGCTCACCACGGTGTTCTCACTTAGGAGCGCCCCTATCTTAGCTTCTCCAATTAGAAGGCCTCTGGCTTGGCATCTCTACTTGGAACGCCTTTAATTTCTGCTTCCTGACTTGGAGCGCCTCCGCCGCTGCGTCTTCAATCAGTGAAAGAGTAGTCTAATTCATGGCCTTCCCGCTAATATGGAGCACTGATAGAAGCGTCCTTGCTTGCCTATTCAAACGACAGTATGGTTAGATTTGACAACAGTGTATACTATTGAGTATCGTTAGATTTTAATTTTTAGATGTAACGACTATTTCCAGATGTCTAATGACCTGGGTTTTCCAGAAGCCTAACGACTTCAGTTTTGCAGATGTATAATGATTTGGGTTTGCCAGATGTTTAATGACTTGGTATTGCCAGATATTTAATGACTTGGGAAGTGTTCTCGCAATTTCAAACACATTATCTTCAATAACATTGATTATTGTATGATGTTAAATTTGTGTGTATTTTTTGCTTATGGTTGCTTTACTTGAGTGACATTATTATATTTAATATGTCAAGTAATATATTACTTTTTATTTATAAATTCGATACTCTAAAAGATTAATGAGAAAATACGTAATAAATACAGTAGTCTGGTTTTTATATTTTTGAAAATTAAAGTAATTAAAAAAAGATTCATTAATCAAAGTAAATATTTTTTTGTAATTAAAAAAGGTCATGTTCTTACGATAAAAATCTACATTCTAGTCTTTGTATATGTTGTATCAAATCACACTTTCTACAAAGTTTTATAAGAATTTTATATTTAAAAATTTGCATATTAAATTTATTTAAATTTTTATAGTAATACTTCTTAAATTATAAAAATCTATTAAATAATATGTGAATTTAAAGGTAATTCTGAATTTGATTTCAATTTTATATAAATTTAAAAATTTTAGAAAACTCTACTTATCTATAATAATTTAATAATAGTTAGAAAAGGTTTATTATAAATATAATAAATAAGTAAAGTAACATTTATTCATACAAGTTTACTTTTATGATTATATTAAATAAATAAAATAAAAGTTATTTATTTTTATTTTTTAAATATCAAAGCATATTGGTGTATAGAAATTATAATTATAAATTATAATTTATTAGCTATATCTGGATCGAAAAATTATTGTAACTGTAAAATTAAGTCTCTTTTTTTAAAATAACATGAAATAAACAGATCAATAAAAATTATGGGTTAATCATAATAGTAGTAATACATATTAACCCCAGTCACATTCGAAAAAATAATAAATAAACTAAGAAATATTGCTAATTTAATATTAATTTTTTTATGAACAATAAAATATATTATTATTCATATTAAGAAAACTTAGTGATAAAAATATAAAACATATTTTTCAGAAAATAATATTTATTTCAATAAAAATTTTTATAATTCAAATCATAGAAGTCTATTGATGGAACTCTAATAGACCTCTACAAAACTATTTTACAAAAATTTCAAATATAAATGTGATTCAATGATATTTTTCATATAAAGGGGAAATGTAATCCACCATTGTCTTCAAGTTAAACATATTGTGAAGACACTTGTAAAAATTATTCATGAATGTTAATAGAATCAATATATTAGTGTATATTACTTAAAATTTATGTTATAAAACGCAAAACTTAATAAAATCAGGTCCTAAAATATTTTTGGATAAAACTATGATTTATTTGAAAAACTTATTTCTTAGGGAAGTGTTCTAATTTAAGAGAAATAAACATATAAATCTGTATAATAATTTTAATTTACTAAATAATTATCTCAATTTTAATTATTTTTTAGGCTTATAAATGAATTATTAATTTAAAAAATGAAGTTGTAATGTTAAACAATCTTTAACTGCATAAAATCCCAGTAAAGCAAAAGCCAAATTAAAAAATTGATAATAGGATTAAAGAATAAGTTCAATTTCACATTAATGTCATAATAAAATTAGAAATCCTAAAGCAATCAGTATGTACTTCTATATATACAAAAACAAAAGGAATTTTATTGTAAAAAAGTCAATTCGTTTATTTATCAGGATTTATATTAATTTTATAATTATAAAATAAATTTGTTTTTAATTAAATATAGAAAAATCTAATTTTATCATAAAAAATTTATCATATAAACTAATTTGATAATAAAGTTATTTTTATAAAAGTAAATATCGTATATATAAAAACAAACATTTTAATTACTTTTTATAGTACAGTAGTACCAAAATCGTAATTTTTTGTTATTAAGTATTTACTATTTAAATTAATAATATATCAAATATATATATATCAAATACACAATACAATATTGTATAAGTTAAAATTTTACCTTAATTACAAAAGTATAAATACAACTATAATAGTAAGATTTGGAACTTAGTAAACATTATATTAAAAAATTTCATATTTAAAGTAATCTTATGTCAAATATACAATATATACAAATTTCAAATTTATGTGAATCTATATATGTCACAAAGTTAAAAATTTATTACTCCAGTCGTGCACGTTTGTATTTGGTAGAATTGGTTGGAATATTATCATTCATTAGTCTTCTTGGTAAAATATTTTCATTATCTCTAAAATCTAATAAATTATTTACTTTATTAAGCATTTCTCTATCATTAAACCATGGATGTCCAAGAACTTTTTTAATCGTAATTCGTTTTAATGGATCCACAGTCATCATTTTTTTTATCTATAAAATGTAGAATGATACAAATTTACGTAAAATATTATAAAGTTATAATAGTTTGTAATCTTACTAGATCTTTTGCATTGAATGAAATATCAAAAAATTTTGAGACATTGAAGCTATACAATCCTTTTATTATTTGATCATATAATGTAATAGTTTTATCATGAATCTTAAATGGTGTTAAACCACTCAAACAGCAATATAAAATAACTCCCAGACTCCAAACATCAACCTGACTAGTATATGATCCTCTACCACCAGTTAATAAAATTTCAGGTGCAACATACATCGGAGTTCCACAAAAAGTTTTCATCATATTTTGTGAATCGACTAATTTTGATAAACCAAAATCAGAAACTTTTACAATAGTTTCATCTTCGTCACTAGCTAACAAAATATTTTCTGGCTAAAATAAAATATGTAATCTATAAATATATTATTATAAACACACTTTAAGTTTTTATTACCTTTAAATCTCTATGTGTAATTCCATTTTCATGAAGATAATTTACAGCTAACACTACTTGGTAAAACATGAATTTAGTAGTTTTCTCAGATAAGCCATTATGTTTTTTAATTCTTTCAAATAATTCACCACCTTCCATTAGTTCTAATATTATATAAACCATTTTGGGACTCTCAAAAAATTCTTCTACTTTTATGATACAAGGCTAAAATGTACATGATGAATTTAACGTCATTAATACTATTTAAAATAATCAACAATTAAAAAAAAAAAACAAATACTAACTAATGTGTATTAAATTTTTATATATATTAAAATGTTTTTATAGAAAAGAATGTGAAAGTATTATCATTTTAATAATCAGTAATTTTGTATATAGTTCACAAAGATAAATATTAATTTATACGATAAGATTTGCTATTTTTCTTAAATATAAATTTTTAAAAACTTACATGTTTTAAATCTTTACATATTTTCACCTCATTCATAATGTGTTTTTCATCATTAAGAGGATTTTTATGTCCTGTTACACTTATTCTAGATTTTGATATCATTTTCATAGCATACTTTTTGCCAGCCAAACCACTTTTTGAAAAACATAATTTAACTTCTCCACAAGCACCTGCACCTATTGTTCTTGAAACAGCATATTTACTTCTCAATTGTTCTGGTAAAAACGAATCATCATATCCACTTGTACTCATGTACACAAACACTTAATATAATAAAAGTAAGTTTATTATATGGATATAAAATACTCAATATATAGAATAATATAAATTATAAGTATTACCATTAAAATGATTCTTTGCAACAGCAATCAAATCATTATTCACTAATATTATACTATTGCCTTTTCCTATAAGAATATTATTGATAAATGTTCCATTTTGACTTTCATCTCTTAGATATACAACATCATCTTCTAAACCATTTGTAGTAACAGATTTTTCTCGATATATTCGAAAGTGAGTTTTACTTATAACTTGTTCTTTTCTGACTGGCATTTTACCCTTTACAGATATATCACAGCTTTGAAGACGACCAAATGTATATTCATCTTTTGTTAATTCTATAAAAAATAAAATATTTTCAATATTTTTAATATTAAAAAAAAAAGTTACACTATTTAGAAAAATTTATTAAACACTGTTGCAATGATTGTTAAAAGATTTGTAAATATTAAAATTGTACATCTATCTTTTCATTTCGATAAAAATTTGTTTTGTATTTGTAGGATAATAAACTTTAAATTGAAAATTTATTATTTAGATATATAATATTTTATTTAAATATTTTATATTAATATAGAAATTAATCTTACAATCTTTATTTGCATATATCACAAGTATACTTTATACAAAACAAGTTTTATAATATACATTAATTTTCTTATTTGCAAATTAAATTGTGTAAAAAAATATCATTTTTTAAATTTATTTACAAAATATAATCAATATTTCTAGTTATTTTATGAATTATTTATAAATAATTTTGGCATCATCAGCTAAGATAGATCAAAGTATGTTATTCCATCTAAACATATTTTGCTGAAATTCTTTAATATAAAAATAAAAAATAAAAACAGAATTCAATAATATAGGTAAATTTATTCTCAAAGAATATTTAATATTATAAATGCTGCTAATGAGTTATGAATTAATTTATTTTAAATTAATATTAAAAAAATTGAATAATTTAAGAATATATGTAAATTTTTTAATTATAACATAAGTAAGTTTTGTTTCAATCATGTAAATTAAAAGTAAAATATGTATACTAATTAAAAAATTTTTATTGACCTTACTTGTTTTAATACATTAAACAATTCTTTCTCTGTCTTTTGAGCAGTATATTCAATCAGATAAAAGATTAACATATAGTTTATTAGCAACACTCAATTTTAGAAATGAATTCATATAAAATATATGTCATATTCTCAAAATTTATTTATTTATTTATTTGTAATGTTTAGATCAAATAGTTTCTATTAAATTCTTACATGTCTTCCATATATTTGAGTTTTAAACAAATGATAACATTTATAAGAATTTAATATTCGGATAAAATATGTGATATATCAGTCCCTTTAATACATCCATGTAGTCCATCTAATTCTTGTTATAAATTAAATTATAAATTGATAAATTTCAAGTATCTTATGATCAAGCAAATGTTTTTGTGAATTTTGTTTAAATGGTAACATTAATGATTTCTAATTGATAAACATAAGTGTCTTTTTTTTTAATATACAACAAATAATTTAATTTATTCTATTTTTTATTGACTTTTGAGACACTTGATTATACGATTCAATCGTGAAGAAAATCTAACAATGTTCTTGATGGATCTCCACAATATCTTTTTAATGGTTTACGAGTACATTAGTCAGCTCCAGAAACTATTTTTGTAGAGAAGCTACGTATTTCTTTTGGATGATTTTTTGATAGTGTTTATATAGTGTGATATTGCGTTCACAAAGATTTACATTTCTCTAATCACAACTTAGTAACTTAGGTGTTATCTTCTACTATAATTTTATACTGTATTATTTATTTTATTTGCACGAAATGATTGTTCTACTGACGTTCCAAATAATTTGTTTTACATTTCCATATTTATTCAATCATTTTAAAAAGGGTCAATTGATATATAAGATCAGAAAGTATTAAATCAATAGTTGTTCTGTTCTTCTCTTTGTATTAATGTCAACGAACTCTCTTATTACAGTTTTTGACATCTTCATTATTTTGTTGAAATATTTATTATACCTCTAACTGTACTTATTATATAATTAGCATTTAAATTATAGCATGTTTACTATTAACCATAATATTAATCACATTTAAATTACTATTATTAGTATTGTTATTATGGTTACCAACACACATGTATTTAGATTAATAAATTGCATGAAAGAATAACAATTAATTTCATTACATTAAATTTTGAATAGTTAATCTATTTATTATTCGATATACATTAATTTTTTTTAAGAAATAATTAAAATTTTGTTCTATATAAACTTGTTAAAAATATGTATAATTCAAACAAATTAATCAAATTATAAATATTACAAATAAAAACGATCCTTATATAATATACAACTTTTTTTCAAATATTGCTCATAACAAATAATACATAAAACAAAATTAATTTTTGTTTTTTGTTTTAACTGCTTTAATTTTCTTATATTATATAAATTTCGTTTTTCTCAAATTTGTTTTTTCTAATTGAAAATTTTTATACAGTAAGATTAAAGATTTTTATACAGTTAGTAATTTGAAAACTCATAATTTTTTTATTATTGTGTTTTGTATCATTTTGTTAACTGATATACAACGTATATAATTTGAGTATTCCAATTTGAGGAATGATTTTGTATATTGTTTGTATATTGTATGTTGTTTGATTTAAAATTTTTTATTAAATATTTCATCAAATTAACAGCTTTTTCACTACATTGTATTATTTATTGATTGATAATTAAATATTCTAATTTCTCCTTTAATCATTATACACTACAGCTATTAAATGTAGTTTTAAAGTAAATGTACTTTATAAATATTTAAACCATTACAATAAATATGCATAATAATACGTATTTATAGAAAGAAAAGAAAATTACTAAGAATTATGCACAGCTATACTACTTTTATATAAGTTAAATATAAAATAATCCATAAAATGATTATTTATATTATAATATTATTAAAACAAATAATTTATCCTTGTTTTTTTATTGCTTTTATAATAGAAGATGTTTTTTGCTTTTATAGTAGAAAATGAAATCAGTAAAATAATTAATTTGTATAATAGGCTAACGTACGATGAAAAATATGTGTATGCGTATTCGAATTACATGATTGAATTGCAAATACTGTGAAACACGTATGTTTCTCTCTCTCTCTCTCTCTCGCTGTGTATATGATGACAGAGCACGTGACGTTTGTATCATTTTCTCTTATTTTTTTATACTCACGCTCTTTTCTCTGTAGATTATGCATCCTTATTTTACTATTTACTTATACACTCCGTATGTCATTTATTTAATACTTTCTATACTAATAAAAATTTGCGGTAAGTACCGCTCGTTCACGTTTAGATATTAAATTAATTCTATCACATACATGTAATTGGTTACTATCTTCCGTTGCCGACTTAAGCTTGTTTACTGATACACATATATGGATATACATAAATATATATATATATATATATATATATATGCATATATATATATATAGCAATAAATATTAATTCTAATGTTGTCTTCTAATTTCTTCTGATTTAAACATTACTTTCATATTTAGTTATAGAATATATATCAGTGCATAAAATTGTATAAATGTTGAATGAGAATATTTATATTTAATTTCCGTCTAGTTTTATATGTCTCTTAGATTAAAGCTTTAATTCGATTACGAATAAATTCTTGTTTGTTTATTAGAAAAATATTTATATACATATATAATTATACATTATAATTTGGATTGTAAATGTGTACTGTTTTCTGTATATTTTTCATTTAAGTATTAATATTACCAATATATTTATTTGTGACTACATATAATTCAATTGCAGCTTTCTATATTGTAATAAATTCAACATTATAATAAATTTGTGTAAAAAAATGTGGTACTGTTATAATGTTATTTTATTAAACGTTATATACAATCAATATCAGTATATTTTTATTATGCTCTCATGCATATATTTATAATATTATATTGGGCATTTTATTCTAATCAATAAACGTCATTATGTATTCGATAAATTAATGCATCCTGAAATATTACTATTTGGTTCATTTATCATAAATGTAAAAATAAAACGATGTCACCCTTTATGCAATTATACAAGAAAGCTTCATTTTAGTAAAAGAAATAAACAATGAAATAGTTTATATTCTATCATTTCTATGAATGGATTATTTTTCGAATTTTTATATCGATATTTATTTCCATTCTACCATATTGAGAGGAGATAAAACTTTTCATTAAAAAATTAAATGAAATAAATAAAATTGAGACAATAATTTTGTTCAAATCATCTAATTCAATTAGATATGTACTAAATGAAAACAATATGATCACCCGAAATTTGGTAAGAAATAGAAGAAACGATTTTCTATAGAATCGAATGGCTTCAGAGAGAGAGAGAGAGAGGGAAATATGTATACTAATATGTATAATGTAACAAATTATTTGCCAAACAAAATAAGAATTTTCTTTTATATATTGCACATAAATCATTGACTATAGCTAAATACGAATAAGAATGGAGCAGAAATTAAAAAAAAAATAACATGGTTAAATGTAAGAAAATAAAAGCGAATCCTAATAGAGTAGCAAAATAAGTGGAGTTGCGTATAAGACACGACTTAATTCAAATCTAAAATGAATCCACTTATAAATTTTTAATAAATATATTTCTTTTAAACTTTAAATTAAGTTTTCAAAATATTGAAATACCCAGTCTGATTTGTAGAATTAAATAAATTCTATACGTAAAAAATTATGAAATGGTAGTAAGATTTTAATATTATTGGTTTTAATAAAAAAAAAATATAAAAATTGTTGTGAACAGCAATGTATGTATATGTAATATTTTTCTTTGTAAGATACTTAAAACTTTTAAAACAAATTTTTTATAAAATTTACTTTTTCTGAAACAGCCGTAAATTTAACTTTATAGATCTTAATCAATTATTAAGATATTAAATAAATATTTAAAACAACATTTTCTGTAAAATTGCAAATTGATCATATGAGTAATTAAATAATTTTTAGTAATATTTTTTTAACATTTGTTTTTTTTTTCGTACATTATCCTACAACTATTCGTGTACAGAATTAATACAATTTTTGTTTTTTCTTTAATCTCATATAAAAATCAGAAGTCTTTTAATGGAATAAACAATAATTAATAATAAATAATTTTTTAATTTGTTTTATTTTAAATGCTTAATATATTATGTAATGTGAATTATTTTTAAATGTACACATAAATAAAATATTGGCTACTCAGTAGCGTTTTGATGCTTAATGTTATTCTGTTATATCATTATTTTATTTAAATAGAATGAATATTTGACCAGATTTTAGTATATATAATGATGTAACTTAATAAAATTATCGTGAACGATTCTATTTATTTTTTTCTGCTTAGCTTTTTAAAAAAACAGCCTGCAAAAATTATTTGACGAAAACAAAAAATAATAAATCATAAGAGGAGAAAATACAAAACACAAAACAGAAAGAAGCGGGAATAGATTCAATTGAATTTATTTAAATTATTTTATATTTGAATAGAATACTGACATAAACGAATTTAAATTGTCAATATAGAAAAATAACCTATGCTAATATAATAAATAAAAAATAACTATCACATTGGTAAGAATATAATAAATATTACTAACCACTTCGGATTATAGTTGGTGGCCTTGAAATGATAGGTAGACGTGGAATTCATGATTAGAAAGATCGTATCTTGTTTTTTATGTAAATCTTCATGTTACGAGATCATTCAGTGATCCAAAAATGTTGTGTTCTTTGACACCTGTGTTTGGAAACTTATTTATATAAATGAATGTTGCTGGATGAATTGCCCATATTTAATATGTCTACCATAAGACTTTGTTGTATTAGGAATACGAGATACAAATATTTTTAATTTTTAAGCAAAAGCTATATGTTCGGGAATATAAGTAGAATTGTATTTCCTATAAGTAGATACATTGTATATATAACTCAAAAGTAATTTAAATTTGATTATCTTCGAAATTTAATTTTATAATGCTACTATTTTAAATTTTTAATAATTTATATTAAATTAAAAAGAATTTATATTTCCCGCTTTGAAATAACCAATAAAGTAAGATTTACAGTACGCATATGAGAAACAAGTGTCCCACCTATTCTCGCATTAATCAATATATATATATATGAATCGAAATATGTATATAAATGATAAATCCTTTTGAACTATGTTTTCTATGATTGAAATATTTGTATATTTAAATATAAACTGGAAGATTTGTGTATAATGTATTACGGGAATTTGAAACAACATTTTTTTTAATCATGTTGAGTCAGATGTAATATTATGACAAAAAAATATTAATTCTACAATTTATCTGTTTATCTAACGACAAAATAAATTTCAACTTAAAATTTAATCGTAAATTTTTCTTACCCACTGTTTGCAAATTACTGTCGTGTGGACAAAGTCTACCCCAAACTCGCGGGTGTGAGCTATCAGTGGTTAGAGTATCCTGGGACTGTGTAAAACATTCAGAATCAGCATTTTGTGTATCCGGTAAACTTAGCGGCATGTTATTTTCTTCTGTCTCCATTTTCTTTTTCTATTTTTTAGTTGTTTTGAAAATAAATTGTATTTGTGTACATGCACTTTTTATAATTATATATTTTGTAATACACTACTATACGAGATCTCAAAACAATTTCACAATTTCCATCCTGATCAGGATTTAAATTTAAAGAATGACGATAAATATGTGTTAGTGCTGTGCACCAGTCCCTTTAACTATGCATTCCTATTCCCTAGAATAAAGAGTGACGCTGATCAATGATAAATCTTATATATTTATAGTTACATCTCAGCTCATGGCGCCAAAATTTAAATAAATAACTAGTCTGAATAAGTTTTTATTGATTCAAATTATTTAAAAATCTGTAATTTGAAATAACTTTTGTCAAGAAAAGTTATTATCATTAGATAAATAAATATATATATATATAAATATATATAATATATATATATTATATATATATATAGATATATTTAACAGTATCGTAAATAATTTAGAATTATTTAACATCGCATTGAAATACCATGATGAAACATGTTATTGTATAAGAAAAATATTCCAAATCTTATTCGTAATTAAATTTATCTTAATGATTTAAAAGTTAAATATAACTTACTTAAATATTATTTGTAACACAATATTTTAATGCAAAATCTTCTTTTTAATAATTTTAAAAAAATTACAAACTTAAACAATATTTATTTTTAAAGTCTTAATGCAAAAACTTATAGTTGAACATATTTTAATTTCATATAAAAATAGAATTACTGATTGGTAAAAACAAAAATTATAAAATGTTAACTAAATAAATTTTAATTAAATTTAATTTATCGTTAAGAAATAGATATAGAGTAGTTCGAAAAATTATGATTTCCTCTTAGTACATACCAAACAATTAAAAGTATCTGAATTTATTATATTAAATTTTTATAGAATAAAAATTAAATATACAAAATGATAATGATAAATATAATACATAATATTAATTTACTAATTATGAAATACTTTACATTTGGTATTTAGTAAAGGTTTAATTTTTTTATTTCAATAATCTATCACGATCCATGGAAAAATATTTGAATGCTTATTTCATTTGGTATTTTACTAGTGTTCGTTACAATCTTTTATATTTATTAAACTGATTATCAAAAGCCATAACACTAACTAAACTCGTATTAAATGTTTATGTAAGTATATATTTTTCCATTTAGATGAAATTAATGGTTTTTTATCAAAATTATTTATATAAAATATTTAAAAATTATTAATTATATCTTTTACTTCTACTTCTATCATATATTTATGTTGATTATTTAAAATGTAATATATGTATAAAAGAACTACCTAAAAAGCTGACAATTTACAATATAATTTAATTCCAAATAAATTGGTAAGCATTGGTATTTAATTAATAAATTTGTAAGTTATTGATTACTTTATTATTGTTATAAATTTCTGATCCATCTTATAAGAAAATAAATTACATCTACTAAAATTATTAAATGTAAGATTTATAATAAATAACTACTACTACTACTATTGTTGCTACTGCTACTGCAACTACTGTTGCTACTGCTACTAATACTACTACTACTACTAGTACTTTAGTTATTGCTATTGCTATTGTTACTAATGTACATCAATTGTATGTAAATTAGCTGTCATTATAATTTTCATTTATAGTTTTGCTTCAATAGCTTTATTATATATTAAACAAGTTAAATCGTTTTTATAAATAAAACTTAGTAAGTTTTAATTAAAAATAAATCTATATTATAAATATAATTCTAATTGAAATTTTCCTCTCAATATTTATGATATTTATTTAATAGAAATGGGTTGAAGATAGACAATATGTAATAGAATTTAAAAATATAAAATTGAAACAAGTTAAATGAAAATATCACAACTAAACTTGAGAACAAAAGCATGGTGAATTGTTACTTTTTTTGTTACTTAATAAGCAGTTAATATAATACATGTTAATACAAAACAAAGCAATTTTTTGCCACTTTTGGACAGAAAGTATGATTACAATATATATACATTGAATTTCAATTTCTTACATTTTTCTCCAATATATCTTTATGTATTTCTTTTATAAGTGTAGATATTTTAGTACGATTATATATAGAAATATATACATAGAGTTTATAATTTTCTTTAAATTCAATACAATTCGAAAATTACAGTGTTTTCTTAAATATATATTCATGAAATATTTCAAAACAATGCTTTAATCAACAATAGGATGAATTATTTGTTATAATATACTTGATATATTAGTATAATTTCATATAATAAATCATTTATCTGTACATCATATTACAATCTGTAATGTCTTTTTCAATAGTTTCATAGAGTAATATTATATTTATTTGATTTATTAGTGCCAATACCAATAATATTAATTTGATTCATTTGTGGAATAAAATTTAGAATACATTTTTGGTAGAAATTAAAATTTGAAAATATAATTGAATACAAATTCATATAAAAAGCAATTCTAACTTAAACTAAGTTTTTTTCACATAATTTTTCCATATAAGTGTATATGTATTTATCATTTAATTAAAATTATTAATGCAGTAATATAAAACTGTTGAGCTACACCTACTATATTTTTTCTATCCCTATCTTTATCTCTATCACTATTTATTTATCTATCCATCCATTCATTCATCTATTCTTTCATTCCTTTATCCATTCTCTACCCGCCTCCCCCACACTCACCCATCTATCCATTTTGCTCACTTTTCTGAGTATCGAATATAGATCACTATTGTAAGATGATACATGTATAATATCAATCTTTAGTTAAACTTTATTATAAATTAATTAAAGAATTGTAGATTGAATGTGTATGTGTTTCATAATTGTAATAATTGTATGTAGACAGTTTTTGTAGCAGCAGCTCCTCAATCGGTCATTTATGTAATATTATAAATACAGTTCTTGCTTCACATTCCAAAATAAATTTTTATGCATTTCATTTTTTCATACATTGAAAAAAATCATAAACGGTTGGTGATTAGCGACACTCCCAAATCTTCGCCATTTGGTCTACGCTTCCACTAACGACATATGGATGACTTCTATGAAAATCTGAAAAAATAATAAATTATCTAACCAATAAAAACACTAATTCATAGTAAATAAGATTACATAAAGAATCAATAAAGATCATATTCATTAGTATGTTTCTAACATAATTTCAGTGTATTTTAAATAATTGTTACTTTTATACAATTTATACTTATTACAATTGAAATAAATTACAGCAAATTTTATACAAGGACAATAAAATTCATTTTATTTATATCCTAAATTTAATTATATTTAATGTCCACATTTTTCTTAGTACTGTAACTTTATATATTCATAATTAGCAGTTTTATTTATTTAATACTTATATTATTAAGCCAAGTTAAGTATCGATAAAATATATGAGTAAAAGACTCAATTAAGAAAATTTATAATAAAATTACATTTTATCTAAAAAGTTGTTAAGAAATAATATTTATAAACTTATTATATCCAATTTTTAAAAAATATTAGTATTGAATTAAAAGTTGTAAATATCATACATAAATATTATTTAATAATAATTATAATTCAATATTAATTAATTTTTTAATATTATATAATTTTATTTTTCTTTTATAATAATAAAACCTCAGATTATATGCTTCATTAGAATTTATTATGCAAAACTTTATTTTAAGTTCGAAAACTCAAAAATTATTGTTCTTAAATATTTTACATAATTTTGTTTATGTATGGGTTGTTCATTATCTTTCCATAAATTTATAAAATTGAATTCAATTTTTGTTCAATCTCTTTCAACTATATGCACAAAAGAAATAAGTAAATAAAATAAATTTATTATAATAAATTAAATAAATTATATTCAAATAATTATATTGAATTTGAATAACTAAACCTCAAAGATTTGTTAACGTATTTTTAATTACGTAAATTTTATTAGAAATTTTTGTGAAAGATTATTAAAACAAAGATTGAAGATCAGGAGAAATTAAAAATATTTTTGACACAAGAGTAATATAATTAATTTACAGAAAAAAAATAAAATATTTAGTAACTTCTAGATGTTAATTTTTTTTATTAATGTCAGTGTTGTTATTTTTCCATGACTCTTTAAAGAATAATCTTTAATTTATTAAAAAATTAATAATAATAATTAAAAATTAAACTTGCTCATAATAAAGTTATAAAAATATCAACATAAGATAATAATTACCAATTGAGGTACAAAAGTGAGCATGAGCCTCGAGCGTTTTCATGTTTCGTTTATTGCGTGTATCCCACACTCGCATCGTTTTGTCATCTGATGCGCTAACGATAAATTTCCCGCTTGGATGAAAGGCAATGCCTCTAACCCAATTGTCATGACCAAGAAGAGTGAAAAGGCAGATACCACTGCCGACATCCCAAATGCGAATTGTTTTATCTCGAGAACCAGAAGCAAGAAATGGACCCTCATAAGCGCCCTTATTATCTGTACCTGCCGCTGTGTTTATAGCTGCTCGCGCACAATCCGGTGCCCATGCAATACACTCTACCACGTGGTCGTGGTCTCTTAATTCAATCTGTAAGCAATAAATACTGTACTTCATCAAATTTGTTAATCCCCACATATAATAAATCTTTATGGAAATAAATAACGATTAACAAATTTATCGAATTCATAAGTTCTATGGACACATTTAATCACTGAAATTTCAGACAGAAAAGGTTTTATATATATATATTTTTTTAAGCTAGGATTTTTAAAGTTTTGCTATTCTTTGGTATTGGCTACTAATGAAACAAAATTAATAGAAAAATAAGACAATATAAAAAATGTATGTTATAATATATTAGAAGTAAGATATATAAAAATAAGCGACAATCAAAATCTATGGTCAAAAATATTATTAAAAAATATTGAATAACCCATTTTAAAAATAAATCTATACATCTACATAAATAACTTTGAAAATTAATAGAAATATTTTATTTCAATTATATTTAACTTTAATCACAAAAAATAAGACTTCTGAATTATTGTAAACTATTATAATAATATTTATTAAAATAATAAATGTCAATATATACAAAGAATGTGTACCTTTGTTTCTTTGCTAGCAATATGCCATATTCTAATCGTTTGGTCATTAGAACAGCTAGCGATAAGCTCACCACAAGAACTTATTCTTGCCATTCTAACCCACTCCGTATGGCCAGTGAGAGTTTTAACACAGTATCCTGTTGCAACTTCCCAGATTTTGATAGTCTTGTCACGTGAAGCACTTACAATTAAGTCGCCTTGAGGTACGAAAGTAACTGAGCTTACATTGTGATCGTGACCATGCATTGTTTTTATGCATGAAAAAGATTGTTGAAAATCCCAAAGTTTTATAGACATATCAGAACTGCAGGATACGAGAAGTTTTCCATTACCATCAAATGATATATCTTGTACACTCTCTGTGTGACCTTTTAATGTACGCTCAAATTCGCCGCTTTCGAAATCCCATACCTGCAAGTATCCATAAATGATTAATCAAAAATAAAATTTTAATATTTTGATTTAATTTTTGTATACAAATCTTAAATACTCCTTTACGTTTCAAATGTATGACTACTTAAAAAATGTTTTACGGCGTACATATGCGGAATATCTATCGCTCTAATGACTTGGCGGTAGTTATTTTCAAGAATAAATAAGAATACAATAAAAGTCAAATAATTTTCGTATGTTACTTAAAAAATAAAATTCTTGTTAAAACTTATTTTATCATTCTAAATATTACGTTAAATCTTCCAAAATATCAAAATTCTAATAAACTTTTAATCTTTGCATCATATTATATATATATATATATATATATATATATGTATATGCGCGTGTGTGTGTGTGTGTTCGCGCACGCTGTGTGTATTATAATCATAACATCACACAAATCATAATTATCTGTTAATTTCTTAATTCATTATTTAATATTAATTTTAATATTTTAATAATTTTTTCGATAATTAATAAATTAAAACTAAATAAATAAAATATGACTTAAAAGCACTAACATTATTATTATGAAATAAGTATATTTAATGCTTCAATAAGTTATAAAATGAGTTAATACTTAATATAATAAAGTTTTAAAAGTTTAAAAAAGATTTGGAGGTTTAATTTATCCAACGTTGTCAACGAAATTTTATTTAATGATATACCTTCATGGTAGCATCTTCACTTGCAGTAACAATAAGACTAAAAACAGGATGGAAAATGACTCGATTAATGGTTGCTCTGTGTCCAGTAAGACAAAATTTTTCTGGAGGTCGAGGTATCCAATCAGATGGCGATCGTTTGCCTCGTGTTGGAGCGCCTTCAATAAACTCTTTCTCAGCTTCTGATAATTTTGATTCCAATTCCATTACCTACAAAGTAAATCCATTACATGAAAACATGTTATATAAAAATAATATTAATATTAGAGATATCAATCTAAAATAAGGTTTAACTTAAATGTTTAACTTAAATCATTCCATATTATGTACACAAGTTTCGAAAACACCAAATATGAATTCAATAGGAATAAGCATAATAAAAGAATAAAAATATTAATTTATTTTAAACTTTTAGAATTTTTAATATATTATACTTAATGTTAAATTAAATTTAAACAGCGTTATGTGAAAATAAATAAGTATAATACTAGAAGATGTTATATTATATTATATAAAAATGACATCTTGTTTACTTTTCTGAAAGTGTAGTATATTATATTTTATATTACATTATTATAAACAATTGTAAAATTAGAATTAAGGTGTTCATTAGAAAATAGAAAAAATAGAAGATTTTATGAAGTAGCACTCTATGAACATAATTTTAAATTGACTGTAATAGAGTTCATTAAAAATTGAATGTAAATTATCTTTATAAAGTTTTAAATACAAATTCTGTATAGTTTATAAAATAACAAACAATACCTTACGTAAATATTTTAATACAAACAAGCTTTATGTTAACAAAAAACCAAAAATTAACTATAAAAGATATAACAATTGTTGTTGATGTAAAAACGTCATTTATATTAATAATTTGTTGAATATTATAAGATAAGAACAAAAAAATCTCATTAAAATATACGTATTTATTTTCTTGAGATTATATTGCTTATTATACATGGAATTTATGAAAATATATGTTAAAATGTATTATTTTTTTACAATATAATTAATTGCGATTTTGTTGGACTTATTGCCATATGAAAGATAAATTTTAATAGATAGAAATTAATATATTAAATTAATAGATATTTAAACAATAATATATAAGAAAATGTTTCAATTTTAATAAAAATATAAATTCTTTCTTCGAGTAATAGACGGATAGTATATTAAAATTATGTGAATTTTAAAAAGCTGGAATTTCTATTACGCACACAAATGGTTTAGTCTATGTAGTTTACACATATTTATATTATCAATATAAATATCAAAAATTTCACCACAGAATATAAATTCGAATAGCATTGAACTCAGTCGTCGTACCGGCGAGGTCAAAGAGCTCAACCAACTAGTTGGCGTTGTGCTTCCATTAATATTTTAATAGTCTATACACGAATAATTAATTATAAAATTGTAATGTGCAAACTTACGGTTCTTGATTGATAGTACTTAAATATTCAGTCCATTTATCTACAGAGCTACAAATAAGGTGCGCACAATTCAAATTATTTACCTAGAAAGTTCTTCCTTGAACTTTGGTTTTACAATATTTTGCAGTACTTTTATCTTAGTGAAACTTAGCGAAGTGCGCATATAAATTTGAAAAATGTTATGCATATTTATAATTGTATATAAAGGGTTTCAATAGCAAAACCAATAAGTAATCAGATGCTTTTGATGTAGTGGGTAATGAAAATATATGTATATAAAATAAAAATAAATTCATTAAAGAATATGCAATAAAAATTATCCTACGAAAACTGATATAGAATTACATACATTTTCTTAAATTATTATTTTATAATCCGAGTTTTTTTATTTAGACATTAATGTCTATTATAATATCAATAAATTAAATATAAATGTACTCAGTATCATTTTTTCGATAATTTTACTCATTTTTATCTATTTGATAGTATAATTATTGAAATAATTTATCAGATTTTATTTTATTTCATCATTCAATTTATTATCAATAATTAAAAAAAATCAATTATCTTAAAGTAATTGAGTTTACATATATTGATGTATATGATATTTCAATATTAATAACCATTATAGAAATCCAAAAATGAAAACGAAATTGTTCATAGGAAATAACTCATTTTAAATACTAAATGAGTAGTGGTTGACTTATAATTAAATAAAACTTTTTAAATATTTTAATTTCATATATATTTATAATTATCTTTACTGCGAAAAATCGTTCTATCGTAGATTATTTATAATGTTTTATAGAAATAGACACTACACATAAATATTTAGACAGCTTTTGTGTGTTTCTCTTGCTTTATAAGATTTTTCTAAACTTAAAAAAAAGTTTATAATGACTTTCATAAGGCGTTTAGTATATATTAAATGAAATAAGATATAATTTTAAGAGATATAATTTTAATATCAAATATATTTAGAAATCTTAATGTTTATTTATAATTACTATAACTGTATTATACAAAAAGAATTAATCAATATTAAATCTTTACCAATAATCTAATATAATTTTTTTTGTACATCTATATATAAGGGGTTTGTATTAAATAATATAAATGCGTATTTATAAAGTGTATATAATTAAAAAAATTTGTAGTAAAAATAAAATATTTTAAAGTGCTGAATTAAAATAAAAATTATACTGATTATAAATGGGATCGGCTTTCATATTATTTTTATAATCAATCATTTTTATGTTCTTTTGTTCTTTTTAACTTACTTTTACATATTTCTGTAAAAAATGCTTATTTTTAATTTTTAACAGATTTTTAATGCTTAAGACAAATTTCGCTTTAAGTAATTATTTATTTGCTAATTTATTATTTATAATATGATTAATATTTAATTCATCATCAGTATCATATATTTTATCGTATAAACTTGTATTACAGTATCTAAGAAATACAGAAAATATTAAAAACAATCTATATAAATATTTTTAGATTTTTAATATAACAATTTAAATAAATATTAACTTTTATTATATATCAGTTAATTTATATTATATATTTCCTAGACATAATTTACTAATATGGAGCTATAATAATAAATTATAATAAATTTTTAAATTTAAGTTTTAAGATTTTAATGGTTATACAAGCGATTTAATAGTTATTAATTGAATGAATGAACAAATCAAAAAGTATGTTTATTATAAAATTGAAAATATTCACTTTTTTCTGCAATCGTATGACTGAGGTCCATTTCTTTTCAAGGAGACCTCCATATTTACGTTCAACTTCACCAGGCATATCAGCTTCTTTCTTAAACGCCTCTAGAGCATCTTGATACCCATTGACGCTTAAGTAGTCTGCAATAGCTTTATTTCTATAAAAACAAATACAAAAAGGCTTATAAGTATTTGTGTAATCGGTCAGCATAAATTATTATATATATAATTTTAAAATCTGAGCTGCCTGTTATTAAATAATCATATAAAAAAAACAAGAAACACTCTTTTTATCATAAATAGTTTTAACTTTAAATAATGGATAATAACTACAATAATCATATTTCAATACTAAAATTTATGTAATTTATTTACATTGTAAAAAATCAACTTTAAATTAAAAATAAAAATATATTATGCTTGCATAAACGAATTTTTCTTTTATTACAATATTTATATTTATATAAATTCATATGATTGATTTTATTTAAGTAAAAATAGGATTTTAAAAAATTTAGCATAATTAATTCCATAAGATATTTTTTATTGGTTATATTAAATTTAGGTTAACATTAAGGAAATTAATTAATCGAATATCTTTTATAAGTAACAAAATATAATTATATTGAATTTAAACATTTTAATTTTATGCTAATTGTCGGTTTTAATTGAATTGATGTACATTAAATGTATTTGATTATTTTTTAAAATAAATAATAAACTTACTTATATAAATTTTTTTTAATTTATTCAATAATTAACAAAATAATTATATACACTATACAATCATATATATCTCAACAAACTTGTTAATAACAGTAATTTAAAAACATCAATACTTGAAAAGAATTTAAAGCCAATTAATGAATTACGGAAAGAAAAATAATGTATCAAATAAATGCATAATTGATTATAAAGCAATTATGAACAAAGTTCAACTATTGCTCAAACTGTTTATACCATATTAAATTATATCTTCAAACAGAATTATTCGATATATTCCATTTTTAATCTAATAAAGAAATTGTAATGATTGTTTCATATTATGTGTTAAATTAATTTTAATTTAAAAAAGAATTAGTATATTTAAGCGCTTATTTACAAACTACAAATTTGTTATGTTCTTGTTTTTTTATGATCATAATCAATTAAAAAATTAATATTTCTCGTTAACAAGTATTAAAAATTGTTTCAAATCATATATGGGAATATTTTATAAATTTTAAAGGAGAAATAGAAATATAATTAATAGACTATTAATCGAACTACTATGTTTACGTTAATAATACTAAATATTGTTTAAATATCCTTCAAAATATATATAAATATATAAAAGTATATAAGTAATGTATTCATACTTTATAGTTAGGTACACTTATATTCAAATTAATTGCATTATGTTGGTACTTATATTCGATACGTATATAATACACATATATAAAGCAAAAAAGCAGTAGAATGAGTAATGGGACCAAATATAGTACATGTTACTTTTGAAATTTATACAGTCAATTAAATAAGAATAATGATCTCGTGGTTATTCAATCTATATATACTATATGAACGAATATATAAATTAAATAATTTCTATAATTATTGTTCAGTCAAAATTAGAAATAACAAAACATGATTTCAACCGACAGTTCAATGCCATATACATGTGTAATTCATATATTTATTTTAATAAATATAAATTTATTACTAAAATCATCTTTCTATTTCGAACTTCTTTTTATACCATTTAAAAACTATAAAATAATATTAATTAAAAAATACGTGTACATTAAATTTGACATGTAATGAAATACAAATAATGCATCGGATTATAAAGATCATTGTGAAAAATCACATTTTAAAATTATTACATTTTTTAAATTGTATTATTTATTAGTTTATGCGTATATAATCACCTATTTTACAAATAAAAATATTGATTAATTTAGTAATTGTACAGAGCGATACATTTTGAATATTATATGTTAAGGTTAAAATTAGTAAACTGTTAATAATAAATATGAAACTCAGAATATAATGATACGATAATTACACAAATATTTCATTATGCGCATAATTATAGCACTATGAATCCATTCCAATCTTTGTTGAACAAAACAATTCTTATTACATTTCAAATATTAAAACAAAATTAAATTTGTATTATGACTAAGAAAATAATCGTTTTTATATCATTTATTTAAATTATCAAACGTATAAGAAAAATTTGTTCGATCAATTATATTTTAGAAAAATATGATTAATTAAACAAATAATCATTAAGATTTACTTGTATCGGTAAAAGTACTTATAAAAAAAATTATAAACAATAGAACAAATTTAGATTTGGGATAAAGAGAAAAGATAGTAATATTAATGATAACGATTTTATCGATAGAGTTAATAAAGATAGTATTTTGATGCTGTTAACAAGTCTATCGGCGCAAGTCTGTTTTGTACGATCATTGATACATGTCATTGTATGTATTGAACATAGAACGGTTTCCTTAAAGAATAAAAGAGAGAAACTTCAATGCGCATGTTCAATTGTATTATTGATTAACCGTAGTGCGTATACTTGTTGATTTGACTTGGTATTATCCGATATCAATACGACCGACAGGCGTTGCCTCAAAATAAGCAACTATGCCATGTATGACTTTTTTATACCTCAAGGATTGATTTTGCTTCTCAAATTCTAAATATATACTATATAACTTTTTTTAAACAGAGACTAGTTTTTCAATTACTACTCAAAAAAAGACAATCGCAGTTTCATCTTATCTTTAAGATGATCTATATAATATAAGGGTGAGTTGATTAGTGAATGATTACATTTATTTTTTAATACTGTGTAAAAGATTCACCACAATAAGAATTAATTGCACTTTTATATCTTCATTACTGAATGTGTTTACGTATTATACATGTAATCCTAAGTGTATAGGTAAACTCTATATAAGAATTATAATTTATAGTTTCTCTATCTTCTATTTATTTAATTTTTAGTTTTATCTGTACTTTTATAAGATACAGCTACATTTTGTATCTCAACGTGAATATAATATATTTTATTTCAATCAAATTATGTTATATATATAAATGAAGAAATCATGAATCGTATAATATATGTTTGAATTATTAATCTTTTTAAAATAAACATAGTTATTACATACTAGTCAAATCATGAAATATTCTAATTACTACTTCAACTATAATACAATTTTTAAGTAAAATAATGATATATCTTTTGATATATTTGTGATTTTTATCTATATAGAAGCCAAGAGATAAAAATTTAATTATTTAATCCAAGAGTAAAATATTAAAAACAAATAACGTTATTTGATGAATATAAGTGAATTTGTTGACAAAAACTGAGAATTTTCTGTAAGCAATTGTAGGATAGTAACTTTAAATAAATCCTATTAAAAATTACAATACGTTCCAAACTAAAATCAAATTGGAAAGTTATTCGGAGAAATCTATATTAATAGTGATGGATATCAAATGTAATAGTTCCATCAAACAAAACATTTTTTCAGTAAAATCCTAAATTGAAATTATTTTATGATCTATATTCGAACCCTGACAAATCATTTAACTTCATTTTAAATCTTACAAAATTGAAATTCTTATTACACGAAATGTCGAATAATAATATGAAAAACGACTGAAAATGAATTATTTTTACTTATATCTACAACTTGTTTTTGAACAATAAATGCTGGAAATAAAAAATGTTTGTAATTTTTATTTCAATCTAGTAATTTAAATATTGGCTAATTTATTTTTACAAAATAATTTTGAATATTATATATTCAAAAAATTTGATGGTAGACTTTCGTGAAGAAAACGTTATTTATTGAATATAAGTCATGTTTCAAAATATAAGAATAGGTTTTTTATTTTGACAGATTTCTAAAAAAGTTACAGCAATAATATTAAAGAAATAATTATGAAATTTTTTTAATTGTTTCTATTAAAACAAAAAATGTTTTATTCTCATATTTAAATGCAAATATATTGCTTATAAAATTAAAAAATTCGAAAACATATCACAATCAATGTATTCTAGTTTTATACAATATTCGACAATTTTTATAAATAAATTTTCTGTTACTTGCAGAGATAAAATATGAAGCGCTATATACATTAAATAAGCAAAAGTTTGCTTTGAAAGAAAGTAAATTGAATTATAAATATAAAATGAATAAAAAATCATTTATCCCAGTAATTAAACAGAGTTGAAAAAATTAAAAGTTTATAATACCAGCAGACTAAAGACAAAAAACAATTTACACATAGATGAAAAATAACGATTGAAACATTTTTTATTCATCATATGGACAGAGTTTTTTAGGTGACAAACAGTATGTCATCGATTTTACAGAACTTGTATCTTCTATAAGCTTAGTTAGAATTGTGTTATTATAGTAAGATTATATGGTATTAAATTGTATTTGCACATTACTTTTACCCAGTATTAAATTATAGTTATTTTCAGTGTTTTATTATTTATTACTTAACTTGTAAATTTATTTATTATAAATACATGTAAAAATTAACTATTGGAAATTGTTTTAAGATAACACCAATAAATAAATCAAATAAAAATGAAAATTTAACAAAATTATTTAGGGTGGCATATTAATTATAATAAATCAAATTTGAAGAGATTGATTGATATTTGCAATTAATTATATTTTTGTTCCATTTTTTGTATTAATAATTTGAAATTAATATATGCTCAATTTGAGTATAGTAGGTGAAGTATTTATCACGAACATCTTTCAATTTTCTTTTTATTCAATCTTCATTATAATCCAAATGTTATACTATAATATATAATCTCTTTGTACAAGCAATCTTTATATATTTGTAATAGAACTTCACTTACAAACAAATTCATTTGATATATGTTGTGTATTACACATTCCCAAAATTTTCAGTATCTGTTTAAACTGAAAAAATGAAGTTAAAACGATTAATTTTATGTGTAAATATTAATGCAATTATTTTATTATTTTACTTTACGAGTATGTAAAATAGTGCATAAATGTTCTAATACATACAATATTTGAAAGGATTTATAAAAATGTATTTATTTTATATATACAGTTATAATTAGTCTTAAATCATAATATATTAAGAATTAATATTTCTTATTAAATTGTATTAAGTTTTATTCTAAAATTAATTATGTCCAATGCTTAAGCTTTCACTAAATTTAAAAGCTAATGAAAATTTACTTTTCGTTTTAAAATTAAAATATTTCAAAAATATTTCCGAAGATTTAATGTTGTTTTAATGTATCTACTATTTTTATAAATTTTAATGTGAAATAGTAACTGTAGCATTTTGCAAGGACATAATCCTTAATATGCGTTTTAATTTACTTTTGAAAATTTTTACAAACAAGGTATTTAGACATAAAGAAAAAATTGAAAAACTATTTTCTCCTAGATATTTAGACATTTAAAACTTTAAAATATTTTTAGATTTAATAACAAAATTTAATATAAATTATAAAAAGTAAAATAAATATTAAATAGAATTCCAATCATTTTGCTCTATATAAGACAGCTTTGCTATGTGTGATGATTGCTATGAATAATGACAAACAATGTAATGTTGAAAAATTAAAAATTATTCTAAAGATAACATTGTAAGTAGCTGAAGTAGATAATAAATAAATAAAAACATTTAAAATTATTAAATTTGAACGGTTACCTCCTGTAATAATTTCAAATTTCTGTTTTTGCTTTAATAATTAAAATCAATAGCATTTAGAAATATTTTCTTATAATTTAATATCATCTCAGTTAATATTTTTAAAAATATACTGTTACATATGAAGGTTGAAGCAGTGTTTCTTGCAAAGATAAATTTTTCGTATATTTATGACCAATACGTATTTGTAAAAATAATTACAAACTTTATTAAGAACAAATAAAAAAGAATAATTTTGGGTAGCAGGGTTACTCTCATTAACAGCAGAATTAATACATATGATTAAGTTATTATTTAAACAATAGCATTGAGTAAAGTATCAGATGGTGTTTGAACTAGTTTTATATTTGAGTGTTATTAATTAAGAAAGGACTAAAGAAAAGTTATGTAATATCTACTGTTTAACATATATGTTTGAAAAAAGAATAAATTTTTAAATATAAACAAGAACTTATTTACATTCTATATCCATATAGTGTAGGTACATATCCCAAATGAAAGTTTGATACGAATTAATGCGATGTAGTATATTACATTATGTTATTTTCAAATTATAAATCAATGAATTTTACATCATTTTTTGTGCGATTAGAATAAATTGACAAATCATTATTTTTATATATTTTTTAGCTTGCCGTAAATTTATTTTTTACTTTTTAATACATTTCTTTAACATTGATCTGAAGATTAAAATTTTTTTTATTATACCTTTTTTAGATACAACGAGTGAATAACAATAATAGAAGTTATATATTTTTTATAATAAATTATTATATTAAATATTATATTAAAATTTATTATTATTAAATATTCTTGAATTTAATTCTTATTATAATATTATTATATTAAAATTAACTTAATTATTATATTAAATATTCTTGAAAATACTATTATATATAATACACTGTGAAGCCTATTAATTATAATTTCTTTTGAATAGTTTTATAATTTAGAATAAATAAAAATAAAAGCAAATAACAAAAAAAAATAGAGACGAACTTAAAAACTATCGAGAATGAATACATATCCGTATCTGAAATTAACCGACATAGTATTACAGAAATAATATCAGTTTGAGAAATGGCTAATAAGCAATTGTTTCAGCATAAAAGTTTTTTAAAAAGACGCAACTACATAAATTTTAAGTTTATATAAAAAAAGAAAAATCTATTAGAAAAGTAAAATTTAAACAGATTTAAATCGATTTCTGACAAAGAATAATTGTTGTCGAAGTATTACAAAGTTTTCAGAGAGATAAGATTAGGTAATCAAAAGATTAGATAAACTGAAAAATGATTTTAAAATAACAAATTTAATTAAGTATCTTAACTGAAAGTTTGCGTATTAACATGAAAATGATAAACATGAACAAACCTGTAAATGAACGTTTTTAATTTCAAGTAATAATTTAGTACTACAAATTAAGATATTGACAGAAAGGCAAAAGATACTTAAATCATTAAATATATTTAAAATATATAAAACACAGCATTCTTATTATACAAAATTTATCATTCAACGTTGAAATATTGATTTTCACTTAAACGAATATTATATGCTATCCTTAAAAAATCTATAAAATAATATATTGCATTATATTTTTAATTTATTTATATTAAAATTTATTTACATTAATAAAGGTAAGAGTATATGTATTGTTATCTCATATAGAAGAAGTTAATCTAAATCGATTAACCTACAATTTTTTATTAAACTTTGATTATTTTGATTAGAAAGCCAATTCCTTATATTAATATTAAACAATAGTTTAAATCCTATATTAATAATATTTAGAAAAACAATTTTTATTACTACGATATGCATTTAAAGTATATTATATAGTTTTAGTTTAATCTTATTTAGTCTGCTATGAATAAATTTTAATTGGTTATAGGTTCTGACTATGTTGAAAGACGGGTAGATAAATAACTAACATCATTTATAATTTAATATTTGTACTTTAGGTTCAAGTTGAAAAAAAATATTGAAAAATCTGATTACAAAATAGGAAGAAAACACATAAAAAAAAGAAAACTACAAAAGTGTAACATTATACAACATTCTTCTAGCAGACATTGTATAATATACTAGATCAAATTTTAGCAGATTAATAGCATAAAAATAAAACTATATATATTTTATATAACTATATAAATATAAATATAAATAGTTATTTGTCATGTTGAATATAAATAATACTTTTGTTGTTATTAATTTTTATTATTTATACTTTACTATTTTCTTTAAAATATGTAAAATTTAAGTAGATTCTCTAAAATTTATTCTAAAAGAAATTTAATTTTACATTTTAGTTCATAATTTAATATTAAGTAACAAAAAGTATAAGCTTTTTAAATTTTTACAAATTGTTTTAACTACATCATTAAATTTAACTAAAAGGTTAATATTAAGTTATTTCTATTATTGATAAGAATAGAAACTCTTCCTGTAGTATAATACGACAAATAGCCGTAAATACATTAATAGTTAAACAAAATTATGAAATCGCTTAATGTAAATGGAATACTTACAACTCCTCCCTCTGACGTTGAGACAACACCATTTTCATGATCTTTATATATGTGATTCAAAAGATATCACAATAACAAGTGAGAAGCGTCAATCACTTCAGTTATGTTTATATCGCAAGGTATTTCTTCAATGTACCTCCATTTAAAGTACCTGATCAACAATAAATAAATAGCTTATTTTTATTACAATAAATAAAGTACATATAATTATAATCTATATTTCAATTTCATTATATACGAAATTAATAATATATAAAACATTAAAATGTTATTGAATATTTTGTAAGATTATATAAACTATTTAATGTATATACTAAACATAAAAAAATAGTATTTTAAAATTTTAAATTCATATAATTAATTTAATTAAATACAGATAAATATATATTTAACATTACTAAATAGATCGACTGATTTTTTTTAATCAACAAAGTAATTTGATTCTATATTCAAGTTTTGCATAGTTTTATTTGCAGATATAATATATTACATACATCAATACACTGAAACGGCGAAAATGAGAAAAAGATAAAAAAAAGAGTGAAATAAAACAGGAGAGGGGGTGGGAGAGGGCAGTGAGAGTTAGCAACGAAAGGGCTCTGATACATTAAACAATTTTTAATAAGAATAAAAAAATTAATTCATTAGATATGTGAATAAATAATGGTCAATTTGTGATGCATCATATCTCAGTTTGAAATAAATATTATTTAGTATAATTTATAAAACTATGATTTATATTGATAAAATAAACATTTTTTTATTAACTATCAACAATATAATTTTTAGTTATATTGGTGCATAATGTTTTATTATATCTCTTATATATGTAAGAGTTAGAATAGAACAATTTATAATTAAATTTATATAAATACAGGTAAATAAATAAAAATTAATAAAACAAGTAAATAGTACATTTAATACATGAAATGCATTTTTGACAAGATATGCACTAAAATATTATTAGAAAATTAAATTTATTTAATAAAATTTTGAATTCTTTACTATACAAATATATATTTACTATATATAGTATATACTTTTTATAAGTAGTCTCAAAAAAAATTTTTTTTCCAAAGATATTTTTTAATAATGCCAGTATTTCGACAAATTTTATATTTATATGAAAATATAAATGATGTTAATAATATAACATTATGAATCAATTAATGCTATTTAATGCGTTTGAGGTAGTAATATACAAATTCAAATTAAAAGTTGTTTTTCACCAAACTTATAATAAATAACTATTTTATTAATAGATTATATGCACGCTTTCAAACAACGTTAACCACAACAAGAATTTTATTATTATAAGAAGTCGTATAAATATAAAATATTAAGTAAACATTTAATAACTTAACAAATTAATTATATTCAGATTTTGTATTAAATTAAAAGGTGTTTTATTATCATCTAATTATTTACAATATTTATAAAAAGATGTATAAACAAAATATTAAAACATCTTATTTATATAATAAACAATTAGTAACATGTATTTTACTTGTATGAATTATAAATTATTATTAAAAAGTAATTATTCTTGACATTAATCCAATGAAATTTAGTGAGATGTATTATTTCAGTATGAATTAAATGTAATGACATATAATTTAATACATTATTTCATTATTCAAGCCATTAGTTTTTATTAATTTTTATTTGGAGTAATATTGATTTTTTATTAGATCAAAATTAGGAGTTCCGCCTTTTTATATATGACACTTAAAATTTATTAAATATTTAAGTTGAATAAGAATTTTTTTTTTAAATAATATTTCATAAAATTATTCCATTATAAATACTTAAGAATATTATTAATTTACATTTAGTAAAATATAATTATTGAATTTTATTAATTATTACATTGAATATATTTTGCAAAAATTGAATAGAATTAAACCAAAATGTAATGAAATTAATTAAAAATTTTTTATCAATAAATCAAGTAAATTAAATATTGGTTTCCATATTTCTTAATGAAAAATAAGGAGTATAATAGTATTTAATTTATATTATTATAAGAATAAATTTATGTTTCATTTTTTCGTTTTTCGAGTTCGAGGGACTTTTATTGGATTATGATATGATTAACATATTATGATAAGATTGTTGGACAATTTCTTTTTATTATTTATTTTATTATTTTTAATATTTTTATGTTTATGAAAAATTATTTTATTTTTTTTTTATTTGTATTTTAAGTTATATGCTATCTAGCTTAATAATTTAAAAATGGAAAATTTTTATCTTACAATAAATGGAAATTTATTATCATTTTTATTTAATTGTTGTAAATAATTTTAATAAATAAGTTAGTAATGAGTAATTAAAAACAAATTTTTTATCAGAAATATAAAATTAAAGTAATTCAGTTAATGAATGTGTAAGAATCTTCGATTGGTTTTGTCCGATATGAATGAAAAATGTAATAAAAATTTTTTAATTCAGATTCAGAATAAAATTTAGTTAATAATAATTATTATTTTTAATTTAAATCTTTTAATTTTATATTTTGAGATAAACGAAATAGTAAAATAATTGATATTAATCATTCAATTAATCATTTTAATTTATTAAATATTGCATCAGTATATATATAATTTTCAGGAGCAGAAAGAATATAAGGATTTAATAGACAAATTAATAATAATGTACTTACTATAAAAATAATTAAATTATTAAATGATATTTTTTCATGTAAAAAGGTAAATAAAATAATGAAAATTAGGATAAAATGAAAGCAAAAAATTAATTGCAACATTGCTTACAGAAGATCCTCGTCTTAATCATCTGACTATTGTATTTCCAATATTAGAAATTGTGAACAATAGATTTACAATTACTAAAGTCTCTCATTTTGACCTCAAGGTAACCTAACAAATAAATATTGTCAATATAATTATATAAAAATAATTACTCCAATTCTTCAGATTTTGATTGATTTTAAATTATTATAGTAAAGATTTTAACCCGTATGAATAAAGAAATAAATAAAAAATATTGAAACACCATTTACATGAATTAATTGAATGAACCATTTATGGCTTACTTCTTATTTAATTCAAATAACTATATTAAATGCTACATTAATATTAGGGATATAATGAATAGATAAAAGAACTCCTGAAACCATTTATGATTTAAGACATATTCCTAGTAGGAATAAAAATTTCCATCATAACGAAATATTTATTTGTGTGGGTAAATTAATAAGAAAAAATTTTTTTAATTTCTAATTGATTCTGTTGTAATATTGATTTTTTCATAAATTATCATATTTTTCAAATATTTTTATGGGAATTTTTTAAACATAAGTTATTATAGTTATAAAATATTATACTATGAATAAAGCTAAAAAAATAAAGTAATTGAGGTTTTAAATATGTAAATTTGAGATAATTATATATAGGTTTCAAATGAGTTATTATCTATTATTTCTATCATAGTTATGGTATTAGGATTATCATTTAAATAATAAAAAAAAATAATTATTTGAATGTATTTGGATAATACATTTGGTTTTGGAAAATAGTAATCAGTAAAATATGCAAAATATATCAAACTACTAAATATATAATCCTCCAAATAAAATTAAAAAAATTATTAAAGGTATTATTCTTATACTCGAGTAGCTAATTATTGAAACAACATAGAACATGATTGATAATAATAAAATTACATAAAGGTCTCCTACAACCAGGTCTAATAAATAAAAATATAATTAAATTTCAATGTAGTAAAATAGGAAAATATAATATTACCATGTTAGTTATTTTCATTCTAAAATATTCACAAGACTTCTTATTTATACGATAAACAATTGGTAACATATTGTCTTTTGCATGCATGAATAATAAAATATTTTTAAAAGGTTATCAAAAAATTATTAAATATTCAGTTATGAAATATATATCTTACAATCTAATGTTTTAAAATGTCATATCTTACTTTAATTTACAAAAATATTTTAATTTTTTGTTCTTCAAAACATAATTTGCTCATACAATGATAGGTACTAATTGATATATTAATGAATAAAAATGTATTACATTTTCAATTTTAAACATTTATAAATTTTAATGGAATTAGATTTTCAAGGATAATATTTCTATAAAAAAAAAATCATATGTATTTCATTATAAAAATGGATTATTAGAATAATATATAATATTAATTAACTGATAAAATCTATTTTTATACTCTGTTGCATAAATATTGTATATTGTTAATTTATAATTTATACAGTATATTATATTAAACTAAAATGATTTAGTAAGTTGTTAAAAATATTTGATTCATTATATTAATAATTATTGTAATTGTTAAGATATTATACATTAATTATATTTAATAATGATGCTTAATATTAAGTAGTTAAGTTAAATATTTTATTTACTGTACATCTTTTTTATTTTTTAACAAAATTAAAATTTTTAACATGGATTACGAAATTAAATGAATGCACATAAGAGAGGTTAATAGTATAAGAATAGTATAGAGACAACTTAAAACATAATTAATCAACACAATTTTCATAAGCAAGAATTTTTGACATGGCTGATACCAATTACACATGGAACACAGGTTGGATGTACAAGAACTTGCAAGATTGATGGATATTTTAGACACCTAAATGAATTATAATCCAACAATTTCTTTTTCTTTAATGAATTTTGAAAATATTGATCACTTAGTTATTGATTCTAAAATTACTTTTACAAATTCAGATTGAAGATTGCAAATATATGAAGTAGAATCTATTATTCTATAAATTTAAAAGCATCTAATTTACACTGTTAAAAACAAATAATATATATTTATTACACCCACATGTATACAATTATAAAATAATTGAGATATTTTTTCTTACAATTGTGTTAGTGTAAAGTCATATGCACTAATTTATTTATATATTTTATTATATTCTCAAATAATAAACAGCTGATTTGTACTAATGCAAAAAAGACATTTTCAACTGATTGAGAATTGAAATAAAATAAGACAAACAGTGATAAAAAATTTTCATGTACAAACACACCAGATTGGCCACTTTTTCAAGTAGGATTATAGAACTCGCGTAGTAGATTGCATCTACAGCCATCTTGCTACAAATATATGTTTCTCTTTTTTGCTCTGCTTAAATTATAGGAATGAGCGTAAACGTCAGTAAACGTTAATAACTCTATGAGTAACGTAAAAGAGAAAGGACGGAATGATATAAGAAATGAGAGTGAGCAAATGTTAAAAGCAGAAGTTAGGTGATCACATTTTTTTTTTATATATTAATTGTTTAGTATTATAGATAACAGTAAAGTAAGGGCTTACTTACGTCTGTCACAACAGGATGGGATGATTGCTCTTAGGTTAATAAGTACTAAAGAAATTTAATAGAACGATTTGTCTATTTATAATTATCTATTCAGTATTTGTTCTCAGATATCAGTTGGCATATCTTTAATAATATACAATTTTAAAGTAAAATCAGACAATAGTGATATTGATAAATATCTCTTTCCAAGTCCCACTTTATTTGATATCTTTTCGACACACAATAAAATGTACCGTATAAGAAAGATCAGTCAACAAGCGTAGCAACAATGATCATATACCATCGCTAGTAAGCACAATAGAGTGTATTCAGAACAATGAAGTACGCAAGGAAAAATATAAACTTAACTTTACCGAAGCACTTTTCTTGACGTACTAATGGTGGCGGATAGTGTGGCTGGAGAGAACAAGAATCTTAGACATGCGCATGACAGCTTTCATATTGAATGTTTTAAAACGTTCTATATATTACGGAAACTAAAATGTTACAGCAACGTTGGAAAAAGATGGACTGTAAATTTAAGATATAAGTAGAAAATTGAGTATATGCCTCGCCTTTAAAAGTATTTTAAGAATAGATGGGGTTATTGGGGTTGAGCGATTTTTTAAATACCATTAACTCATGGATATACACATACTATTAAAAAAAATAACTATCGCTAAATGTTACAGTATAATAATATATGATTATAATATAATGCATGTATAGTTTTATAATAAATAACGATTAAATTCATAATTTGTATTATAAAGTTTTATAACTATACATAGAATACCTAAGAAGTGTTATTAATAATTATAATCAGTTAATTATTAAATTAAAAATATAAAATATAAAAAATTATTAATTTGATGTGATTTTCATTAAAATTATTTAATAATTAAATACTACCATATTCTTATCAGTCTTATTCAGATAGGTATTACCATTTGGTGACCCCACAAAGCTGTGAACGATCCTACAAATCACTGATACGTATTGCCCTCTCATGTAGACATCAATCTATTTATTTTAAACAATATAAATATACAGATTATTGCTTATTTATATTTTTAAGTCGATAACATGTTTAATTTGATTTATAATTATTTCAGAATGAGAAAAATTGAATAAATAAAAAAAGTAAAAATTTTAATGTTAATATTTCTTAAGATTACTATTTTCATTCCTTGAAAATGAAATAAGATTCTGAAGTAATGGATTAACTATTAATCTTTAACATAAAAAAATGTAGGAGTTCTTATATTAGTTAAAATGTGAACCGCAATATAGGTTGGGCAAATTATGCGCTTGCGCAAATACTGCCACAATGAATATAAATTAGAAAGTAATGGTATCTCATCGTTAAAAAGACTATTACTAAAAAAAATTTCATAATTTTATTTTGACTGACGTTTATATAAATTATATAATTCAAAGAAAATTGACTGTAGTTGACTTTTTATTTTGATCTAAAGATATATAAAAATTATAGATAATAAATACAAAATTAAAAATGAAGTACATAATATTTAAAAATATTGAAATTATCTGTTATAATAAAAATACCTTTAAATTTATAATAATTTTACAAAGTATAAAAGCTTATTTTTTCATAAAGACCTATGTGAATATAAATAAAATTAAAATAAATTGTACAAGTATTAAATTTCATTATTATTGACAAAATACAAATCTTAACTGTAATTTAAATTAATATAGAGAAAATATTGATAGCAAATATTATAACATAATTTATAAAATTAAATGAGATAATTTGTTTCTTTTAAATTTATTGGTAATTTTTTAATCAGACAGATACAAAATAAAATAATCTTTTTAAATTTAAAGATATTGTTGTTATAGAACAATATATAGTAAATTCTATTTTATAAACTTTATGAGTATAAATTTTGGTATTGAATATAATATAATCAATGAAAAATGAAAATATAATCAATCTTTAATTGAAGATGAATAGATTGAAATTTATAGAATAAATATTTTATTAAATAAAATATTATAAATAAATTGTGAGAACAAAAATAAACGAATTTAATATTCAGTTAGTTAATGTTCACAAGAAAATATGATGTTTTTGCATCAATAATTAAGGCAATAAAAAAATTATAGATATTTTGGCTAAATTTGTAAAATTAATATTATTACATTTAAATAAAAACTTATTCAATTCTTTAATTATTATAATAGTCTAATAGAATTTAAGCATTCTATATTATGAAATAAAAATTTATCCATTTGGTCATTTATATTGTTCATAAGCATATATAAAAAGTAAAATTAAACGATTAAGTATTAAACTAATTATATTAATTGTATATTATATTGTTTTCAATAACTTTATAATTAATTTAATAAAATATATAATAATAAAAATATTACATGAAATAGAAATATAGTATTAATGTATCTAGTGCATCAATATACTTATTATTTGTTATTTCTTCCTAGTGAGATGCACAAAAAGCAGTAGGTAAATCATAAAATACCTAACAGTTACTAAAATGCCTAAACTCTTGATCAAACGTTTATACATTCATAAAATGTAATATTATTAAAAAAAACATAAATTTATTAAAATATAAATATATTTTGTTCTATTTTTATATAACTTAATTATTAATATTTCTTACCTTAATGAAATTGTTTGTACAGGATTTAGACACAGTTAAATTTTCAATTTGGCTGGGAATTAAGTATTTACTTGACAATGATAGAGAAATTATAATATTAAACCATTTTCCAAAATTTAAAACATTATCTATCAAGACTTTACTCTGCTGAAGAAAAGGAAATAATAAATTTAATTATTTATAATGTGTATATATAAGTATATATTATACTTTGTCATTATATATCATTCAAAACTAAACACTTAGTACTCATAAATTATTATTAAAATTTATAATGTAAAACAATAAATTATAGACAGTTATATAACTTATAACTTATTACAGAAAAATAAATGTTTGAATAAAAATAACTAATATCAATGTTTCAAAATATATATAAAAATAAAATTAAAATTGTAACTTAACATTTGATTAATTAACTAAAAATATACAGCTTTAGATGAAAAAATAATTAATTTTCAAATTTATCCTTTAATATAATTATATATATTAATTTTCATTAAGAAATAATAACAAGTTTATTTCATTTTAGATATTAGAACTAACAGAAGATATAAATAAAATTTGTTAAATCATTTAAAACAATAGATATTAAAGCACAATAATAAAGAATCAATAAAGGAAATAACGATTAATTCAAAATTTAATTTTATAAAAGAAATACATAAAATCATATATTATCACTGTTAAAAACAAAATTAAAATATATGAATTTTTATAATGTTGAGATATATCTAGATGATGCATCTAGAAAACATTTGAATGTATATAATATACTTATTGAATCGATTTCTTATCAATTAATGCTTCTATTGTGTCAGTTATATAACAGTATACAAGGAATGACAATCAATAATACATGTATTATATGATCTGACACAAAGTAATAAATAGCGTATAAAGAACTACTTTTATACTTGTTTTAACACTTAAAATTATATCAATTTTAACCAAATTTTATTTACAAATCTTTATTTATAAATTATTAAACGCAAATTATTCAACAATATTAAATATAAATTTGTTATCCACATAATGACTTCATATATGTTTGTTGAATTGATACAAAACTATATATATAATTAATTTATACATCAATATTAATTTAAGTATTGATATAATATTTAGGCTAAAATGTTGTTTATAAATAAATTTTAAAACTATTTAAAAACTTCCTTATACATAGTTTCTTTAGAATTTATTAATATGAGAGTTTTATATATTAAATGCGATTAAATAAAATTAATGTGATTTTATTGAATAAATATTATAATACATTATTACTGATACTAATTAATGATTTTAATGATACAATACTAACAGTTAAATGCATTTAAATTGTTAATTATTTATGCATGTTTTAAATAATTAGTATTGTGCTTTGAACAACTTAATAAAATATAAATTAATTCAATATTTTTAAATATAAATCCATTATTTACCATGTAAATTTCTTTTATATTATATTCAAACAATTCATAATTAAATAATTCATTCATAGCAAATTAAAAACTTAAGAAATGTGGAGCGAATAGTCTTAAATTAAATTAATCGTGTTATAATGTAGTTATGAAGTTATTGCCATTGTTTTAAAGTAAATTAAAATTTGTATTGAAATATAATGATATATAATGAAAATCGAATTTAAAATATGAAAAATTGTTAAAATTTTATGTTATATTTTATATAATCATCATTGTAAAAAAACTACTTAAATATATTTTTTAATCAGTTATGTACTTTAATGAATACAACTATTTTATAATAATCAACCGTATCTACGTTAATATTACTATCAATTTTGGTTACCATAGTTTAAATATTTTGTACCTTATTTATCAATTATATTTATTCTATTATTTAAACAAAATTTTTTTAATATTTCTATCGTTTGATACATGATAAATTACTCATCTTAATAACATTTATTAAGATTAAGAACACACAGAGGTTAAGCATTTATTACTCTTAATTAATAAAAGAGTTTATTGATATATTAGTCAAAGGACTCAGATAATTTCCTGTAGAAATTTCATGTAGAATGTTATTTATCAATAATTTTAATTGAATTCTTTTTATAAAAATTCAAAAATAAATGCATTGTTTTTAAATATATCAAATTGATTCATTTAAAAAGTTAATTGATGTACTTATTAAAGAAATTATATAATTATATATAGAAATATTATTTATTAGTATTTAATAATTAATATATATATGTAAATGTTTGCAAATACATGATTTAGTCCACGTTATCAAACGAGAAATGAACTTACTATTGCGAAAGCAAATATTCTCATATTACGATTTTGTGTATCAAGCAGCAAAAAGCAGACGCTATAAATGCATTTAAAGTTCACGTGATCTACGTTATCTTTCCATTTTACTTAATATGTAACAAGTATAACGCAATGACTTTATCAAATTATTAAAATTGTTTTCAAGTTGAATATTTGGAAAGTAATAGTTTGGATAAAATTACGTACATTGTTTTTTGTAAATCGTCACCTTTGAATATAAAAAATATAAAAGCTTGTAGGTATATGTAGTTTTTCCTGTTATGAATATATGCGCATACATTATTTATATATATATATATATATATATATATATATATATATATATATATAATATAAATTATATTTAATGTAGTAAATAGTATTTAGTGCATTATATTTAATATGGTATAAAAGTAAAAAGAAAAGTAATTAATGCAAAATTATAGGTTATAAAAATGACTATTCGTCAGTCAGTATTAGTGATTGGAAGTGGAGGAAGAGAACATGCAATATGCTGGAAACTTGCACAATCAGAATATGTAATTTAAAAAATATTTGATATGATTATATAAATACATTTATAATACTTTTTATAATTCAGGTTGAGCATATTTATGTTGCACCAGGAAATAGTGGTATGGTTCATGAAAATAATGTCAAATTAATTACATTAGATGTTACAGATAACGAGGTAAAAATTTTATAATTTCTATGTACTTTTTAAAAACATCTTTTTTTGAAAGAAAAATAAATATTTTCTTGAACTTTTATTATTTTTTATAATTTAATATAAAATTATAATATTTATGCCAATACATAAAATTCAAATTTATTAATAATTATATAATTATTTAATTTAAAACTATTTAAAAATAAAATTTCATTTAATAATGGAATAGTTAATGAACTTTTTATGTGTTAAATTTAAATTAAGTGAAGCACATAAATAAATATTTTAATAAATATAACAATTTTTTATATAGATTAAAAATTTAATCAAGTAATTCTTTTGTAAAACTATTTTGGTCTATTTCTAAATATAACAATATAAATATATATTTAGTATGCGATGTATCTCGTCCAAAAATATTAAATTTATTCTGTATAATCTGAAATTTATTTCAATACTTAAGTAAATTTTTATTTAATCTAAATATATTAATTTTTAGAAAATATGTGATTGGTGTAAAAAAAATAGTATAAGTATGGTTGTAATAGGCCCTGAAGATTATTTAGCACAAGGACTTGCTAATCATTTGAATAAAATTAATATATTATGTTTTGGTCCTCAAAAAGAAGCAGCAAAAATTGAATCTGATAAAATTTGGTCAAAAAAATTTATGAATCGCCATAATATTCCAACAGCTAAGTGGAGAGGATTTAGAGATAGTGAAGAAGCTAAGAAATTTGTTCAAGAGTGAGTCAAAATTATATATAGCTATCCATATTTTTAAAGTTTAATAAAAATATTTATTATTTAGAGCATCTTTCAATGCCTTAGTTATAAAAGCTTCAGGCTTGGCAGCTGGAAAAGGTGTTATAATTGCTAAAAACAATGAAGAAGCTTATGAAGTTATTGATGAAATATTGAATAATAAAAAATTTGGTTCAGCTGGTAGTGCAATTGTTGTTGAAGAACTTTTAGAAGGAGAAGAAGTTTCTATGTTAGCATTTACAGATGGTATGATTATTTGTTTTTGATATTATCAACATAATATACAAAAATTGCGATATAGATCATTAAAAGAATATTAATAAATAATTAATTAGATGCATTATTTCAATAAGTGATTTAAAATCTTTTTATTAATTTTAAATAATTGATTTTTTTCATTGTAGTTATATATATATATATATATAAAAGGTGGACAAAATTATTGAGAAATAATTTTCTCTTGATAGTATGTTATTATAAATTATAATTAATTTATTTTAGTAGATTGTTTGAATATGTATTTGTCTAAAACAGTCACTTTTAATTAATGAAATATTAAGATTGTTAATAAAATATTTATTATAACTTCGTTGTGCAGGTAAAACTGTAGTAAGTATGCCTCCAGCACAAGATCATAAAAGAATTTTTGATGGAGATCTAGGTCTTAATACTGGTGGTATGGGAGCCTATTGTCCTTGTTCACTTTTGACACAAAAAGAATTTAAAGAAATAGAAAAACAAATTCTTCAAAAAACTATTGATGCTCTTAGAAAAGAAAATATACCATTTATAGGTGTTTTATATGCTGGTTTAATACTTACTTCAGAAGGACCAAAGGTATTAGAATTTAATTGTAGATTTGGTGATCCTGAAACACAAGTTATTTTACCTCTATTAAAGTCTGATCTATATACCATAATGAAATCATGTTGTGAAGGAAATTTGAGCTTAGAAAATATTTCATGGAGGGAAGATATTTTTGCTACTGGAGTCATTCTAGCCTCACGTAATTATCCTAAATCATCATCAAAAGGTGAAATTATTACTGGTATTGAAGAAGTAATTTATAGGAATAATCATTATGTTTTTCATAGTGGAACCAGTAAGTTATCTCACAGAGAATTGTTGACAAATGGTAAATATATAAAATGAAACAAAATAAAAATAAAAATTTCATAAAATAATATTTTGATAGGTGGTAGAGTATTAATCACTGTAGCTGTAGCTTCTTCATTGGCATTATCGACTGTTCAAGCTACAGCAGCAGCTCGTCATATTAAATTTGATGGAAAGCAATTCAGAACAGACATTGCTCATAAAGGAATACCAAGGTTTGAGATTAAATTAAAAAAAAAAAAAAAAAAAAAAAAAAATATGAAAAGAATTCCATGAAAATATATTATTAATATTAATATAATCATTTGATAGATCGATTTTACAACATGGTCAAATTACATATAAAAACAGTGGTGTAGATATTGAATCTGGTAATTTCTTTATTTCTCATATTAAACCATTAGTTTTATCTACTAAACGTAGTGGAACACTTGGTAATATTGGAGATTATGGTGGTTTATTTGATACAAGAGCTGCAGGTTATAAAGATCCGATACTTGTTTCTGGTACAGATGGTGTCGGTACAAAATTGAAAGTAATTTCTTATACAAGAATTGTAAAATAACAAAATAAATATCATTGTTTTAAAATGAATTTTATATTTTAGATAGCTTTTGAATATAAAAAGCATAATACTATTGGCATTGATTTAGTTGCTATGTGTGTAAATGATGTTCTTGTACATGGTGCAGAGCCTCTGTTTTTTCTTGATTATTTTACTTGTGGCTATTTAAATATTGAGACAGCAACTGAAGTTATAAATGGGATAGTTGAAGGATGTAAACGTGCTGGCTGTTCTTTAGTAAGACTCAATAATCAATATGTTAACAAAATTAAAAAAAAAAGATTAAATTTTAATTATTTATATCCAAGATTGGTGGAGAAACTTCAGAAATGCCAGAAATGTATAAACATGGAGAATATGATTTAGCTGGATTTGCTGTAGGGGCTGTTGAAAGAAGTAATTTATTACCGAAATTTGATGAAATTAAATCGAATGATATTATTATTGGTTTACCATCAAGTGGAATACACAGTAATGGTTTTAGTTTAATTCGAAAAATTTTAAAAATGATTAATAAACAGTACTCCGATATAGCTCCTTTTTCAAAAACGGGAAGAACTATTGGTAAAATTAATAATAAATAATAAATACAAAATTTATTAATTAAAATTAGACTACATAATACATTTTTATTTGTTAATTACAGGTGAAGAATTACTAGTACCTACGAAAATTTATTCGAAAGCTTTACTTTCTGTATTAAAATTACAATTAATAAAAGGATTTGCACACATTACTGGTGGAGGTTTAATAGAAAATATTCCTAGAATTCTACCTAATGGTGTCGGTGCAATGCTAGATGCAACAAAATGGAATATTCTTCCAATTTTCGGATGGTTAGCTATTGTAGGCGATGTTAAAAAATATGAAATGTTAAGAACATTTAATTGTGGAATTGGTGGAATAATTATTTGCTCTTTAGAAAATAAAAATAATGTAATGGATCTTTTAAAATTAGAAAATCCTGTTGTTATTGGAAATATTAATTCTCTGAAAGGTACACTTTAAGAAAAATATTTTAATAAATTTATAGATTTCTATATATTTATTTTATTTTGCAAATAGGGAGTCAGCAAATTGTTGAAGTAAAATTTTTTGAGAAATCTATTGAATTTGAAATGAAGAAATATGTTCAGCCATTAATTGAAAATATATCAAAACCTTTAAAAAAAGTAGGAGTTTTAATATCTGGAATTGGAACAAATTTGCAAGCCTTAATTGATGCCACAAGAGATCCAGTACAACATATTGGCGCTGAAATAGTTTTAGTAATTTCAAGCAAAGATAATGTAGAAGGATTGAAACGAGCTAAAAGAGCAGGAATTATAAATAAAGTATGACTTAATTTTATTCTGAAATGTAGTCTTAAGTATTTGATATTAAAATGTAATTAAGATAATTACTTTTTAAAGTAATGAACATACATCGATCTCATTTTCTTAACTGGAATTAATAGTAAACATGAAATCCCATTTACATAAAAATTTTTAATAAAAATTTTAGAAATTGTATACATTAACCTTATATTTTTATTAAATTAATATGTATCTAATTATTTGTAGGTCATTAAACATACAGATTTTATAAATAGAGAAGCATTTGATCGGGAAATTGACAAAGAGCTTGTAAAAGCTGGAGTGGAAATAGTATGCCTGGCAGGATTTATGAGAATACTCTCTTCCGAATTTGTTGCTAAATGGAGAGGTGCTATAATAAATATTCATCCATCATTATTGCCTTCATTTAAAGGAGTAAATGCACATAAGGATGTTTTAAAATTTGGAGCTCGTATTTCTGGCTGCACCGTACATTTTGTAATGGTAATTTTTAAGAATTATATTTGTTTGAATATAAGTAGTTTTAAGAATGATTTCTCCAGTTGAAATTAATATTTAATGTGCACATAAATTAAATTTTTAGGCTGAGGTTGATTCTGGAACTATTATTGAACAAGAATCAGTACCTGTTTTTCCCAGTGATACTGTACAAACCTTAGAAAAGCGAATAAAGATTGTAGAACATAAAGCATTTCCAAGAGCTTTAAAATACTTAGCTACAGAAAAAATACGATTAAGAGAAGATAATTCTCTTGAATGGAAAAACTGAAAATATATTTTATTTTTATATTACATGTATAATACATATATCATTATTTTGTTTAACTTTTTAGAATTTACAATAATACATCAATTAACAATGTAAAGAACATTTATATAATCTATTTTTTAATATTACATATGCTTTTTATTTACAAAATAAAGAAAGATAAATTGTGTTATTACTTTATTTCATATTATCTGGGATCAGACTGAAAACCTCTCCCACTTTTTTATTCCGCTTTTAACTGCTTCAATTCCCCACATATATATATATATATTCTGTCTTATAAATTATGATAAATATTTGATTTTTATTGAACTATTGTTTAATTGCTATAAAATATTAAATAAATCATCAAATGAATATTTTAATATAATTTAATTTAATTATTTTTTATAAACACATTTTCTTCAATTTATTTCAAGTATCAAATAATTTTTTTTACTTTATACCTAATGTTTAGAATTCCAGGAGGATTGATTAGACTATGACCACCAGTTGCCTGGTGGGGCAAAGAAGTACGGGCAAGTGGAAGGGATAGTACAATTTTTCAATAGTTAACTCATTTATTTATCGTGCTGCTTATTACCTTTTATTTTACAAACTACACAATAATAATGATTCTAAGATGGCGTTGAATCGGTGAGATCTTCTAGTTCGGTGGTGGTTGCCACGTGGCGTTAGCATGCATTACATAGAGGTAGAAGGTCGTAAATCTCCGGATCCTCTTGACATAGTGTGCTTGGTAATAAATTGTTACACTGAAAGTAAGAGATTGTAAATATCTGGTACTTCTTCGTAGCTCTCACTGAAGAGACTTTGTTTGCGGCACGTGATGTCTTATTTTTTAAATAAAAGGGCCTTGTTAGCCTTTCTTGGTCGCACATTATGTCTTATTGACTGTGTGCTAGTTGCACATTAGTAGAAAGGCCCTGTTGACCTTTTGTTGGTACTCACAGAGATGCAGTTGCCTTGATTGATCTTGTGATGAGTGCCTAGATATTCAGTCAGCATTATTAACTACTTTCAATTATTGTGCACTTGAGAATGGAACGTATATTGATCATAATGGCTTCACTATATTGACGTAACTGAATAACTAACTTATAGCTGTAAAATATGATGATATAATTACAATGAGCCTACAAGCATGTTGAATACGCACACGAAACTGAAGGCTTGTTCATTCCGTCGCGGCTCTGTTAAGAGATATCGACTGATCCATGGCGGTCCTGCTAAGACAGTCTGTCATACATGCCATGGTGTCTTCACTGAGAATGAATGAGGCTCGTCGAATGCTTCCTTTAAATATCTGCGCGGTAGCTTACTTAGCTGGCAACAATACATAAGTATTGCTATACGAATAATCTTGCATCACGTGCAAAACTAAAGCTCTAGAACTTTCGAGAATTCCAGGAAACCTATGCTTTAAAAGATTAGAGAACTCCAACCGACATTGTACTGCGGAAAATATTGTAGGACACTCGAAATAAGGCTTATAATATTCGAGAATTCGCGGAATCAATGTTTACAATCACGAGAGTTAGAAGGCTTATACTTTGCCGATTTTCAAAGTTTTGGAAAATGCTCCAATTCTGAACACCTACCAAAAGGATATTAAGTAAATAAAATTATTGCTTTATACTGGTAGTTTTGTACTGAGTATCAAATTCAGCGCGCTAATATAAATTGGTATAAAAAATATTATTTTATTACAATATAATGCAATATAAATGTATTGATTGATACAATACTGAGATAGGTTATTTGATTTAACAATATTATTGTGTATTAACGAATATGGTTCTTAATAGCTGAAATAATATTATTTAAGGTGTACATAATGTTGGGCTTTATACAGTTTGTGGATGTACAATTGATAAACATTTCTTATTATTTCTTCCATGTCAGTTGCTCTAGAATTAGATTATGATTTTAAAGATACTAATGAAAATTAAGAAGGAAAATAATACAGTAGCAACTATGAAAGTATTAAATGCGCAATGAAACCAGAATGGAGTTTTTACTCACATTTATCATCACTCCAATTTATCCATCCTGAAGAAGCAAACGTTGAAGAAATATATTAAATTGCGTATGATAATGAATGATATATAAATCTAGGTGATATTCATAATGATTACCGAATAGTACATACTGAACATTTATAATTTATTATAAACTTTCTAAATTTAAATTCGATATCTTAAGCACTTAAGTAACTACAACTCAACATTTATTAAAATAAACATTGTTTATAATATATAAAATATATAAAATATTATATAAATAATATTATATGTAAAATAAACATTAAAATATTGTTTAAATAAATATTTTATTTTTTAATTTAAATTTTATATTTAGTATTATATTTATATATGTATAAGAACCATAATTAATTATTCGAGATTGCGAGAATCTTTTCCTATGCTATAAAACATCTGGCAAAACAACATCATTAAATAGTCGTTAAATTTCTGAAAAGTCCTGCCCATAAACATATGACAGTAGTGTCATTGAACATCTGGAAAAACAAGTTGTAAGACTTAGGAAAACCCAACTTATTAGGCAGTTGGAAAGAATCGCTATACCCGTAAAATCTAAAATCTACTGGTATGTACTGCCCCCCCCCCTTGTTAGAAGACCGTCATGCGACCGCCAGAGGTGCCTCGAGGCCAACGAGATCGAGAGTTCTTCTTGGTGTGAAGACCAAGAGAAGACTAAGCTTCATAATTGAAGACGATTCCGCGAAAAGCACTGCCCTCGCCTTGTAAGTCGCAAGGTCTCTGATGGGCACTAAAAAAGGGAAGGGATCCCAAATGGACACCATGGCCAGTGAATGTATTTAAGAGAGACATTCATAAGATTTAAACACTCTCTGTAAAGTCCTTATTGAAATAGGAAGTGGCAAGTCTCTCAACGAAGTCTGAAGACACACTTTTGTTAAAATCTTCATAGAAAAGGAAGTGGCAAGTTCCCTTATCGGAGTCCGAAAACAAGTACCTGTGAAGTCCTCATTGAAGAAGGAAGTCCGTCAACTGACTCCAAGATTAGTTTTCGTTTGTAGTATCATCTATTTTAGGCATCATAGCCATCATCTCAATTTTAAGGTTCTTCGGGAGCCAAGTCATCAAGCATACTTAAAGGATTAAGCACATCTTACAGGTACATGCTACATTATCTTAATTAATTCTACTGTCTGTATTTAAGAAGCTCAGTAGTGCCCACGCGTACGAATAAACATCTGTAAGCCAACGCGCCATTCAGCGCCTACTTGACGATATAACCTCTGTCCTAGTTCGAGTCCTACACTCACGAGGCCAATCTTCGCGCCATTTGCGCTCATAGCAGAAACAATACGGGGCCCTACTCGAAGAAGTGGTAAGAGTTTTACAACCTCTCACTTTCAAGGGAATAGCACCAGTATACTACGTCGAGAGAAGCAAATATTACAACCCCTACCTCTGGTTAAAGGGCGCATGCTAAACCCAAGCGTGGTCTGCCGAGAAACAAGAGTTCATCTATTGATAACAGTAACAAGAATCATTACTGTATCTGGAGATTAACGAAAGAAACAGCATAACAAACAGATGTATTAATATTCAATTTACTACTAATCTCTTCCACTTGCTCGCACATCTCTACTACATAATATCTCAAGGTCTCTGAGTCGTTTATATAAACAATTTTGGTCCTTCGAACCGGACTTGATAAAACTAGCCAGATCTTCGGACACATTTTGTACATTAATAAACATCTTAAATGTACAAAGTTGAAATATAGCTAGATACACTTATTTTTAGTCAGTAAACGAATCCTTTTTATATGTCAGAAATTTTGTAAATATATACATAACCTCTTTAAGTTGCATACTTTTTAGTTGCTTTGTACCATGTGCATAGTTACTGCTCTCATTTATAAGCTCCATACTGTATAGTAAAAACTGATAAATAAAATATAATTTCGTAAAAGTATCGTTTTTATAAATTTTACTGACGTGCTTCAGACATTAATAAAATTTTTTTACTATATATTCCTTAATATTGTATTTAAAATCAATCGTGTTTGTAAACTTATAATGGTTTAAGTCAAGAGAATTAAAATATCTAGATATTTTAGTTTTTCTTTTTTTTCTTTTAGTATTTTAACTTTTATTTTTAGATTTCAAAAGTAGGATAGTGTATTTTTTAGATGCGAAACCTAACAATATTTAAAAGCTCATTTTAATGATCACATAATATCAATTATATATTTTTAATCTTATATTTCAGTTCTTTTTAGTTACATTCTATTAAAATTATATTATTGTTAATGTAGACTAGAATTTTGTAGTTTATTATTTATATAGAACTGAAATAATCTTAAAAGTATGTCAACTTAAGAGCCTTTTCATCTTTAAAATATCACTTTACCAAGTTGCTTAATGATTTTTCTTTATATTTTCTTCAGTTTTTATACAATAAAGATAACTAAACTAAATAATGGAGATATTCTAATACAGAAACCATTCACCTTAAAATATTTAGAAATTCTTTGAATTGTATTAAATCTATTTGCAAATTGCAAATTAAACGTCCAATAATACCTATGAATGCTTCGTGTATTTATGTCTTTTTTAAATTAATAGACTCTTATTGAATCGCATCTACTTGTAAATACTACAGAAAATATTTTCATATAATTTTTTCTTTGGATCTATCTAATAAAATAATATTACTGTTTTTATATCAAATATATTTTATAAAAACACTGTTATTCGAGTGATAACATCAAAATAATAATTTGACTTCAATATAAATTAACTAAATAAATTATCTAATTAGTAGGTAACTGTTATTTTCGCTAACAGTCGCGATAATCTTTTACAAAGAATGTAATAATTACACATAGGAATTACCCTACATTTGTAATTATTTATAATAAATAAAACCAAGTCGAGGAATAACAAAAAAATTAGTTTTAATTATACTGAAAATATTTTATTGTAATAAAAAATATTAATAAGAATAACTTTAAATGAATATTATATAATAAAATAATATTTAAAAAAGGAAGTATTCAAACAATTAATTTTAAAACTTTACAACTAGAAATTCTGTATAATTTTTTAACTCTATATTCCTTTTTATTACCTAAATAAATTAATATGCATAAAAAAATTGGAAATACTTATGATAATATATTGTTATTTTTATAGCAAACTATTATTTTAAATTAATTTTTAGAAAATGAAAAACGAAAGACAACTTAATATATTATTAAAATTAATATTGAAAAATTAATACACTATATATATACGCGTGTGAATGCAATTACCCATGAACACGTACATTTATTTGTAAATAAAAATATAAACATTTGCTATATTTTTAATATTTAGATATTAACAAATATCTATTTAAATAAATACTCTATTACTAATAATAAATAATATACAATTACGATAAATTATTTCACTAATTTATTTTTTATTGTTATTTTATCACAAAAAAAGATCAATTTATATAAAGTAGTAAAATATGTTTTAGATTCTCCATTACGATTAAGTTTTTATTTCATTTTGATTCTGTTACTTTATTGTTGTCGAAATTAAAAAGAGCTCACAGACAATCACCAATTAGATTATATTGTCAGTGCGCATAATATATTAAACACATCATTACTATTTTTATACCGTGTCCTCATTCAATACTTCATACAATATGTTTGTTTTTTATTATTGAAAATCTAATGTGTTAATTTTTAAATTTTTAAATTAAGATATTATTTTTAATTTTCTTTAAAAGTATAATTATTCAAAAATAACTTAAGATTATAATGCAATTTAAAATATAATAAGTTACATAATTCACTGAAGAAAAGTATTCAAATTAAAATGTGCATTCAAATATTTGTGTTTCAAATATTTGAAATCTACAATTCTCCATTTTTTGTACATATTAATACGAATATTAATAATAGTTAATTTTTTAATTATAGATATTTGCATAAGATTATGTATCTTGTAATATTATATTTTATATTCTAGAATTTTTAGGTTAATAGTTAAACTAAAAATTCACTACTCTATATAGTTAAAAGATTAAGTAAATATATAATAGATTATAAAAATTTTCTATATAGTTTTACATATTTTTAAAATAAAATATTTTAAATTATTTAAATTTGTAATTAAAAATATAACTTGTTTTTCAAATTTTTGTTTCATTGCAGTATAGTTTACCATATTATTATTAAAAAAATTATTTGATAGATTAATTTTAATATATGTGATTATGGCTATTTTATATCATATCTCTAAATATTTAAGAAGATTTATAAAGGCTCATACAGTAAATTACATGTACACAAATGGTATTCTATTCATTCTAATTCTATTGTATACCAAATTTTTATATTTGATTACAAATAATAAAACTTAAAATATAATTCTAGTTTTAAGAATTTAATCATTATAATTGTTAACAATGTCTTATAAGTAAAAACATAATAAAATTTCTTTATAATCAGTTAATTGTTATTTATATTAAATATTATTTCAATGATTTCAAGAATCATTAAAAATAGTTATCAGTAATAGTATAGTATCAAGAATAGTTAATTAAAGAACAATTTTGTTTTAATTAAGTTAAAATGTTAAAAATTAATTCTATATTTACTTTAAACAATTTTTTTTAATAATATGGATGCCAATTTCATAATTACTAAATTAATAAATATTCAAAAATTGAGTATGTAAATTTTATTTGTATATATACAGGTATTCCAAAAGTTTGTACTATTAAAGAGATGTCTTGTATTCAGAATAAAAATAACATCATATGGATTGATATGGAGGTAAACATAATTGTATATAGATTATTAACATTTTATTTTATTAACTTATATAGATAATTAACATTTTAACTGAAATATATCATTCTTTTTTGTAGTTAACAGGTCTTGAAATAGAAAACGATTGTATTCTTGAAATTGCTTGTTTAGTTACTGATGAAAATTTAAATATTATTAGTGATGAATTTCATAAAATTTTATATCAAGAAGATAGTATATTAGAAAAAATGAATGGATGGTGTAAAATAACCCATTCTGAAGTACAAATTACATTTACTACACTTATTATATTATATATTCTATTTTAATTTTTATATTAATATATTTTAGTCAGGTCTTACAAAAGCTTCACAAAAAAGCAATGAAAATGAGGATTCTGTGGATAAAAGTCTTTTAAATTTCATGATGCAATATGTACCAGCAAAAAAATGTCCTTTGGCAGGAAATTCAATTTACATAGATCGATTATTTCTCCAAAAATACTTAAAAGAATCAAATAATTATTTACATTACAGAAATATTGATGTATCATCAATAAAAGAAGTTGTGAGGTATATATTAATATTATTTTTGTTTTAAATATTATTTTAAATTCTTCATTTATTATTAGATATTAATATTAGATAAATTTAATTCATAAATTTTTTGTTTTAGACGTTGGAATCCTGAAATTTATAGTTTAGCTCCTAAGAAAACGCATAGTCATAAAGCAATGAATGATATTAAAGAAACTATAGAAGAACTTATATTTTATAGAAAGAATATTTTTAATATTAATAGTAATTGATTTTAAAATCAATATTATGAATTAAAATTATACTATGTTAAACCTTATTGTAAAGATAAATAAAAATGTTCATATTCTACAATGTAATGTAATTAAAAATTAAAAATTATACCTCTATATTATAAAAGTATGTTAGTAATGTAAAAAATATACTAAAAAATATTCATTGTATTAAAATTATCATTAAGTGTAATTGTAGAAAAGGAACATCACAAATCTAGTTTTTATGTTGTTATAGTTTGAAAGAATGATTTATGATGTTGACTATAGTATTTATAATAGTTATATAATTTCTATTTCTACAGTTATATTTAATGTAATTATGATGTAAATGAATTAATAAGTCTAATTCTACTAACACATAGTTATTTTTATGAGTAATGTATTGAATGAAAGATATCAAATAACAGGATTAATTTTATTAACTTCTTAATATAAGCTTGTGACATTACAAAACTAGTTTAAAATATAATAAAATTTGTTCCTTGCTGAAATCATTTTCCATATTTATTTTTATTTATTTTATTGTCTATATATTCACAAAAACATAATTGATTAAAAATATAAATGACAAATTTTTTTATCATCTATTTTTTTGCATTCTATCCTTTTAACTATCAACACAGCAAATATTTTTTATTAAAATCATAATGTATGCTACCTTTAATAATTTTGTTTTTTTTATTTTTATATATATAGCAAATTTTATTGCATGATGGAATATAAGAAAATCTGCAGAAAAGAGAATATTGAAAAAAACATACATAAAAATAAGTATTGCTAAACTTATGCACAAGAAGATATTAAAAATATACTTGAGATTAAAATTCAATGATCAGGATTAAGTAATTACGTAACTTATTCGCATTCAGTTGTTTATTTATGAGGCTCTCAAATACATGTTCTAGTTAAACACTATACACGAACTTTTTGCTTTGTTATGCCCTTGAAACTAAACTGATGCATATATTTAAATTCTAATTTTTTTTATAATAATTGCTTTTAAGCTTTTTCTGGATGAGGTCTAAATAAAAGATTTAAATGAAGAGAACTAAATTAAAATTAAATAGGGAGTGTAGTGGATTTTTTTAGCATATGCATTAAATATCTGTTTAGTAGCTCTTTTACAAGCTTGAAATTTCAAGAAGTTCTACAGGATACCTAAACAAGTATTAATAACAGTATACATTTTTTCATTTATGAATAATGGCAGACCTAAAATAATTTACTTATTTTAAGTTTATCCTTAGAAATATACATATTCTATATATTTCTTGATAAAAAGTCATTAAACTTATTATTTTAATATTTCAGTTATTAATATTTGTATTTATAATTAAGTATGTTTTAATTATAGCTTTTTCTATTATAATAAAATAAATAATATTTTTACATATGCTTTTTCAAATGTGGTGTTTAATCAAAAACCTATTCATATAAATATTTTTCCACACATATAGGTGGGTATGCATATGCGGGGGTATAAATAACGAAATAGATGTACTAAAGTTTCAATATTGATAGTCAATTTACATTTATTTCGGCTTCGATAATACATATATTCAAAAGATGCGCCACCAAATTTAATGAATTTAAATGCAATTGCTTCTTTGTTTTTAGAGAGAGTATTGATGTAAGATAACTCGAATCGCAATAACTTAAAATATAATTTTATGTAAAAGCTAATTTCTCATTGTACTTTTCCATAAAATGTTTAAGGTTTTTGCTACTAAATTCACATAACATTTTGATATCTACTAGTTTACAGGAATCTACCTAGAAGTTATATACCTGTATTAGATATTCATCGAAATTCATTGAAGATTGTACTGTATTAATGGGAGATTTGTAGTTTTATGACACAGAGTAATAAACGTTTTAAAGTATGCAGTTAAATTCTTAAATCATTAAAACGCGAAAAGCAGATGCCTAATAAATAACAGAGCGTATACGTGTGTATGTGTATATATATATATATATATATATTATGCGTAATAAGTAATATGTAGTGATATGATAGAGTTAAAGGTGTGATTGTACCAGATTTTCATTATATAAATTAGGTTAAAAAAAGATTATATATCAGAACTGAATTTCAATCGTAATATATTTATTAATAATTTGTTACCGAACAATTCAGATTTCTAATTTGAAGCCCAAAGTTATGCTTAAATTTATTTGGAAGGTTTGACCTAATTCTTATAAAATCATGGTAGTGGAACGTAGGAAATGCAAGAAACGCAAAGACGTAAGTGTAAAGATTTATTAATCGGCATATCAGGTCTTCGTAACTAGCATTATAAATGTTTGTTACACAGTAACTGACTTTTTTTCATTATTTTCTATTAGAAGTTAGAAATAGTATATGTTCTGCGTTTAAATTAATTATTTTTACTATCACCTAATAGAATTCTTTATAACAAAATTTTCTTTTATATTAAACTTTTTTTTACTATATGAAGTATTAATATGACAAATCAACTTTGCCAAATTAGATTTAATGTTTCTTTATTTTTTACAATAATATACCTATTTTATGAAATATAAAAAATTAAATAGAGTTCTATAATTCATATAAAAGAATTAAATGATAAATTATTGCTGTAGTAAATGAATACTTTTAATATAAAGAATTCTTTATATTAATTATATATGTTCAATTTATGATAATTAAATTAATTACTTTAATCAATTCAATATAACCAAATTTTATTTACATATTTATAGGATGCATTTGATGGATCAACTGTTACTGATAAACCATCTAAAGAAGAATATAATATAGCTAAATGGATTCGTAGTAATGTACGATCCAAGAAAACTAAATTTGATAGAAATCATATTGTTGAGTACTTCACAGGTACTAGAGCAGTCGATGCCCTTTTAGAAAATTCACCGTGGAACAAAACAATATTTGAGTCAAGACAACATGTTGTTAATTTTTTAGATACCATGCTAAGACATAAATTTTTTCACAGAGCAAAAAAAATTGTTATTACTGAAGATGAACTCATTAGAATAAAAGGTATTAAAAAAAAGAACAAAGATTCAAAAGATTTTAAAGAAGAAAAAAAGATAGAAAGAGAGAAATATAAAGAAAAGAACAAAGATGAAAATAATTATTTACAAGAAGATAAAAGGGAAGATGATGAAAAACAAGAAAAAAGGAAAGATATGAAGAAAAAACCAAAGGTAATTTAAATTAAATACATAATTTTATAAATTAAATATTAAATGGTAATAAATATTGAAAACTTTAATTATTTTCAGGTTCGATTAGAAATGCATATGGATCAATATTTTGTAGATTGCAACGATGCATATGTTTGGATTTATGAACCAATTCCAGTATATTATTGGTTTTTTGGTGCTTTATTAGTATTAGGAGCAATTGGTATTTGTCTTTTTCCTTTGTGGCCCTTGACAGTACGTCATGGAGTTTGGTACTTAAGTATAGCTGCAGCAGGATTTCTTATTTTTATACTATCATTAATTGTTATAAGATCAATAGTCTTCTGTCTCTTATGGGTACTAACAGTAGGTAGACATCATCTTTGGCTTCTTCCAAATTTAGTTGAAGATGTTGGTTTTTTTGCATCATTTTGGCCATTATATCATGTATGTGATAAATTTTTAATATAAAAATTACACATGCATTCACAGATACACACACAAATACATAATTTTTAATTTATTTTAGTACGAGTATATAGATTCCACTATTAAAAATAAAAAGTCTTTGGAAAAGAAAAAATGCAAGAAGAATAAAGATAAAGATTCAGATGTAGAAGATTGTATCAATACATATATGTTAGTTAATTTTTAATATATTGTTTTAAATATATTTTTATTTAAACAGTTAAAATTATTAGAAAACTAATATTTCTATTTAATTACAGAGAGGAAAAATCAGAGTCTTCATCGGAAGCTTCAAAACCTAATTCTCCATTATTAAGAGTATCAGCTAGCAATGATAAAAATGAAATATTGGATGGGCATGAAGCAAGTGAAGAAGACTCTGAAAGTGATAAATCAAATACTGGTGGTGACTTTGAAATGTTGTGAGACTGATGTTTCTTGTAAGAAAATTAATTATATATCAAATCGATTTATTTATAAGTTTCTGTTAGTTTTTTCATCTACCCTTCTTAAAATGAATAATATTACTATTGAGCATATACATAATCGATTTAATAACTAGTTTAAAATTATATTTTATTTCTGTGTAAAATGAAAGTTTATATATACTGAAGTCAACAACATAGCATCATGATTATTAAAAATATTAACTAATCAGAATTGTTATTTTGAATTTTTTAGTATTAATGTAATATACAACTATGTTCAATTGCTAGATTATCTGAACATTTGAAAAATACTTGAGTTTATAGCATTAATAATTATTTTTATATAGAAATCATAAAATAAAGTTTTTAATTTTATCATAAATGTGTAAGCTCCTTTTTTGATAATGCAATTCAGTATCATGTATATGAAAAAATAGTTTTAACAGAAAATTAATTTTATTTACACATCAATGGCAAAATGTATTATTTACTTTTAATAACCATTTTTCTTATAAGTAATGAAATATTAGTTGAAACCAAGCCATTTGTATATTTATATTTGTTGATATATAAATAAATTCAATGTTTCCTTCAATTGGATATATAATTTATTAGAAAGCTATTAAATTATTAATAGAAAAATATATTGGGCAAAAGTTTTTTTAATATTTTTTCAACACAATCTAACAATTTAATTAAAGAAGTAATACTTAAATTTAATTTATTTAACTAAAATGATTTTACTTCAATTAAATTGAATTCTTTAAAATGTTGAAATAAATATTAAATATTATACTTTTATATTCACTTATAATTATATCAATTAGTGTATGAAATAGATTCAATCAGTCAGAGCTTATCAATAATCTAATTTTATGGATACTGAAATGGATAAAAATAAATAAGATTGAACATAATTTTCTTCTAGATTAAGAATTTGTGGTGCAATTCTTAGAGTGTAAATAGTTTTCAAATCAACATAACTCCCTATTATGTTGCTGTGATTATTTACAAATTTCTTTATTATTTCAAGAAAAATTATTATCTACTTCCATATTAATTTGTATTTATTTCTTATTATTTGATTAATTTCCATAGTAATTATTACAATAGAGTTGAGGTATAATATAAATTTTTTTAATAAAAATGATTTTAATCTATGTAATGATCAAAATAATTTTTGATATATCGTATTTAATTTAAAAAAAAAGATAACATTTTTCAAAGTTTTATGTATTTTATTTTTTGTCGATTAATCTTTTTTCAGCTTTTCTGTTTCCAAAAATTAAATTTACTAGATATGTATTTTTCTGCTAATTTTACTATTGATTATGATTTTATATGTATATATAATTTTTTTCTTTATAATTTTATTACATTTTATATTAACATATAGTCATATATTTCATTTTTTATTCTTTGAATAGGAGTATCTCAATTAAATATATGTATATTTATGAATTAAACTATTATTTATTATATCTTTAAAATGATATTATTTAAATAATATGCATCGTTTTAAATTATATCTTTGTACATTAGTATTACAAATTTTAAAATCAGTGTCATTATTTTATTTAAAATTATTAAACAAACTCATTATTTGCATATACTTACAATTGACATTTTCTTTGTACAACCTGTTGCATATCCTTGTACAACAGGTCTCTGCATTGAATAGAAAGAATAGGTTGATGAGAGATAACTCTAATGATGAATTTTTACTAATGTATTTGATTTTTGTAAGATAAATTAAGACATTAAATATTAAATTATATACAAAATTAATAACTACAATTCATTCAATTAATATTCAATAAATCAATAGTAGATAGTATATAATAGGTAAATATATTTTTTTGATAAAAATTATAAAATAAATGAATTATTTCCATTTTTACTTTTTTAAATTAAAAGATTCTAATTTTATATCTTTAAAATAATATAATTATATTAATACAAATTGTTTAGAATGGGCATTCTTTTAAAGAAACATTGTTCTAGCTGTAAATATACTAGTATCGAGATATTGATACTACGAAAAAAATGAATTTAGAAGAATTTGTAACAAATATTATAAAAGTATATTTAAATCCAATTGATTGTTAGTACAATTTTTTATAAACTTTCTAAATGTTTACATTTATTAAATTTGTACAAAATGTTTCCAATGTTCCAGCTCGTTTTACCAAGACCGGTTCGAGGGATTCAAATTGATGCCGTTGACAACTCAGAGACCAGGGGATGTTGTGTAATAGCGATGTAAGGTCAAGTGGAAGGGATAGTATAATAAAGTCAGTGATAATACATCTGGTTGTTATGCTGTTTATTCTGTTAATTTCCAATTACAGGAATGACTAGTATTACTGTTATCAATTTTGAACTGTTGTTGGGTATATTACGCTGCGGTTGCAAGCGTACACTTCCTATAATAAACTGCGTGTTGTTTCTGCTATGAGCACTGAATGACGCGAAGATTGGCTTGTCGATTGCTCTCCTTATGCATGGGCGCGTTCTTTGTTGAGGTTATGGTCGACAATGAGGGCGCTAAACGCGCGGAGGTTGTTCTAATTCTCTCGGGGCGTGTTGGTCCTTAAGAAATAAGAAGTCTCTTACCTCTTTAGAGAAAATGCCACGTATTGCGGCTGCTAGTAAGCGTTGAGTGGCGCGAAGATTGGATTTATGAGATGAGGTTAGGTCGGCAAGGTGGGCGTGAAGTGGCACGAAGACTTGGCGACACGTGCTGTTCCTCTGACGCAGTGGTTTCTTCTGTGAGAAGGCCTCAATCCTTTATGCTTGTTCTAAGCACTGAATGGCACGAAGCTCGGCTTCATGGGCGGCGGACTCGAGTTAAGATGAGATTAGGTCGGCAAGATGGGCAAATAACTCGAAGACTAGACCATACGTACTGTTCTTCTTACACACGGCGTCTCCTTTGTTTAACCTCGATGACCGGGCTCCTTTTATTCCGAATCTTAGATGTTGGTTATAATAATTGAGTAGTTGATACCACTTACGAAGACTAATCGTAGACTCAGTCGAGGGACTTTCCGCTTACTACTTTGACGAGGACTACAATTGGTACTTATCTTCGGACTACGATAAGTGAATTTTTACGTCTCCTTTCTTGGAGGACGTGTTACGTACGATCTTGAACTATGCATAGGAATCCTTACTTCCTAATTGGGTAAGAACTGTATCGAGAGTAATTAAATCTTGAAGTTGTTTCTCTTAAATACATTACTGACAATGGTTTTCACTTGCGGTCCCTTCCCTGTTTTCGTGTCCAATCAGAGCGCGGTTTTTGGGTAGCATGAGTTAGCATGCACGCCTCTTTTCCCACTTCCAAAGAATTTAGGCTTTGGCGATGATAACATCGAAAAAGTGACTTCGGTGGCAATTGGGACGCTCGCCCCTCTCTTGGACTTAGTGACGTGGGGAGTTCTTGGTCAAGCGTCGTCGCTTTGCTCGTGCGAGAAGCAATATTCGGCGTACTTCACAATAATTTATGCATTGTCTCTTGACACTAGGTGGGCACGTGTGCCGAGGATTGCTCGTTCTCTCACGTGCAGGGTTTTAGGTTGCAATGAATATTTTGGAAATTTTTTATACTCGATAGTTTTCGTATATCTGACACTTTTAGAATGTTCTAGCATAAACAGACTCGTCGCTTTCTTGCCAGTAAGTGAGTTTGAACTGCGAAAATAAATCGAAATGTCTATTCACGAGTGTTTTCCAGATGTACTGACATTTTCAAGCCTCTAACGACCGTGGGTATTTTAATGCAAGGAAAAGATTCTCGCAATCTCGAACAAAATTGTATAAATAAAATGCTGCATTAAACATTTTATTTATTTTAGCCTAGTGAGGCACGTTTTATTCTTAACTTAAATTGTTTTTTTAACCAAAATAACCTATTAACAGTAGTATATCTTGAAAATCGTCAAAAAAAGGATATTGAAAGTATTGTTATTGATAGTACACTTTATATTTAGTTTTATAATAAATCATTATAAAACTAAATATTTAAAGATTAACAACAATTATTAATTATTTATTCATTTGATATGTAAATAAACATAAGTAAAAGTAATAAATGACTTACTGTTATTATTTATTACCTTTAGTCCAATAATCATGTTTTTCGAATTTAAATCTAAAAAATATTTTCCACGTTTTCTACAAAATACTATACTATAAATCCATTATTATACAATTAACAAAATTACTTAACAAATAATAAATTTGAATGAAATACATATGCAATGTATACAAATTATATATTGATACTAATAATAATAATTTTACATATAATACAATTCTTGGATTATAATAACTTACGTGCGATTCATAACACAATTGTCTATTATTATGAAAGGACATAAGTAGAAGGCCTGTAAATTTCGATAGAACATCGTTTATTTAATTTTATTGACAATTATACTATTATTGTTCTAAATTCACTTCTCAAGGGAGTGAGTAAATTATGTTCTATCACAATGATGTAGTTGTTCCTTGGTGATGGTGACGATGTCGTCGATGATGTTATAGGGATCAGCAGTGGATTTTGTATATTTCTTAAAAGGGGATATAGCTTGGCTCGAGGTCTCTGCTAATGTTGCAAGGATTAGTAGGGAGAGCTGACCATACTCATAAAGGGAGTATGGGATTATTTGTGGTCTGTGCTAATTTTGGGAGGATTAGTAGGAAGAGCCAACCATACTCATAACGGGAGTATGGAATTATTTTGGTGATAGTTAATCTCAATAAAAACTGCTGGTATACTTTCGTGTGAAGGAGGGTCCGATACCATGCTTCGTGTGGTTAACTATTTCCTTGTATTGCAGTCAGCCCTTGACTGGTTGTTATCCGTTGCACACTGGAGAATTGAACGCGTGTTCCTTGCAATGGCTGCACTGAGTGAGCGTAGGTTGTGTAACTTTCTCTCTGCTGTAGACTCGAGCTTAATAGCGTGGCTAGGGCATAGATAACTTACTAGGATGAATAACTGACACAGTGTAATGAGTAACTGCTGAGTGATAACTACCACGAGTCTTGAAGCGCGCTTCCTTAAATATCTATGCGGCAGCTACAACAAGCTGGCAACAATGCTTAGACACTGCTATGCGGAAACTAGCCGGCTTGCGGAACGTTCGAGAATCGAAGTTCGGGCTATTCGAGAAATCGGCGAAAGCGAGGCTTTGGAAGATTCGAGAATTCAATCGACGTTGCTATGCGAAGGCTAAGCAGCCTTGCAGAACGTTCGAAAATCTAAGCTTTAGGCTATATTCGAGAATTTTACTTGTTAAATGTTTACAAAATTTGAGGACTAGAAGGCTTATACAATTCTGAAAAAATGCTTCAATTCTGAATAGTATGAAAAATAACGAATTTTTTAAATATATTTTTATACTCAATTGTTAATGCATAGGATTCATTGTGTATTATATGGGATTGTAAATTTGTATAAATTTTGAGAACCATTCAAAGTTAATATATTTTAGTAACATTTAATGTGATATATGATATTTTATATAAATAAGTATCTATGAAATCCTCCTTACACATTAACATACTAGGGTTGAAAAATTCACACGCTAATTTTTGTATATTTTTTCATTTGAATTCTGGGAATGCTACTGTCACAACACTATATTATGATTATCATTCAGATTATATGAAGATTTAGCTTAAAACAGTTTTAAACTGCTTAAATAATAAATATATAATCTAATATCAATAGATTATTTATTATATTTTTGTAATATTAATTGCTTCAACAGCATTTGTAAAATTATATACAATTATAAAAAGTATACATTCATTAAATTTATTTAAAGTATAAACATTAAAAAAGTATTCTATAAAATTTTGATACGTGTCTTTTGTGGTTAATCAAGGCTTTTTAAAAGAATTTTGTTATGTTTCTTTAACGAAGAATAATTTTACCAATAAAATTAGAAGTTATTTCATGTTTATAATAAAAGTAATGCAGAATATGAAGATTTGCAACAATTATACGATGTAATCTAAAGATAAAAAGTTAAATATAAGTCTAATTAAAAAATTAATTCGATGATGAAAATATAAAAAATATATTAATTATAATATGATAGTGTAATAATTTATAAGAACATATTTTATTTAAAAACTTGAGATATTTCAAAATAAAATATCTTATAAAGCTTAAAAAATAATTTTTATAAATATTCAGTCCGCGAGTTAAAATATTAATGGTTAATATTTACATACATACTGTTTAGAAATCCAGTCATACAGTGGTCGAAGGACCAGGATGGTTGGATTAGACTATAACGACCAGTTGCTGGTGAAGGAAAGAAGCGCGGGCAAGTGGAAGGGATGGCGTATGTACTCAGTAATTACATACATTTGCTTATCGTGATGTTTATTGCCTTTTATTTTACAAATTACACAATAATAATGATTCTAAGATGGTGTTGAAAATCTGTGAGATCTTAAAGTTGGTGGTAGTTGCCACGTGACGTTAGAATGCAATACATGTAGAGGTAGGAGGTCGTAAATCTCCGGATCCTCTTGACACAGTGTGCTTGGTGGTAAATTGTTATACTGAAAGTAAGAGGTCGTAAATATCTATTACGTCTTCGTGTAATGCCATGCGATGGTAACGTATATGAGAGGTGCCCTTCGCGGCTTGGTGCTCACAGCGATTCAGTTGCCTTGCCGGATCCTGCGATGAGTGCCTAGATATTGTACTTCTTATAGTCGTGTCCGTTCTTGTAATGCAGTCAGCACTCTTGACTGCGTTAAAGTTATTTCACACTTGAGGGTTGAAATAGTATTAAATATAATGTCCGTATTGGAAGGCTTGCGGCCACTTCCTTGACTCTGCTTGGCCCAATGGGTCTTAGCTGACTGGCTCATGACTGAGTAGCTATTTGACTGAATAATTTACAATAAGCGCCTAGGCGTAGTGTGCTGCCCTTAAATATCCGCATGGCAGCTTACTTAGCTGGCAACAAAGCACCGTTGTTGCTATACTGGAATCTTACATGAGGCGTAGAAAGAAAACTCTAGATGTTTCGATAATTCTTAGAAAAAACAAGGCTTAAGAAATTTAAAGAATTCCAAGCGACGTTACTACTCGAAGACTATATAAACATTGCAGGCCATTTGAAACCAACACATAACAAGTACTCGAAAATTCTCGTACCCAAGTATTTACAGAAACTTCGAAGCTAGAGGGATTAACAATGCCGAGAGTCAATGGTCTTGGAAAATGCTTGAATCCCGAACACAATAACTGCAAGAAAAATATAGTTTATATTAA